TCACTGCCATGTTCGCTCCACAGTCAGAAGAAGAGAAGAAGTATATGTCACGAGTCCCTTATGCCAGTGCCGTAGGAAGTTTGATGTATGCTATGGTCTGTACAAGGCCAGATTTAGCACATGCAGTCAGTGTAGTGAGCAGACTCATGGGACAACCAGGGAGAGAACATTGGCAGGCTGTGAAGAGAATTTTCCGGTACCTTAGAGGTACATCTGACGTTGGTCTCATTTATGGAGGTGATACTCAGTGCTTGGTTACTGGCTATTCTGATTCAGACTATGCTGGAGATGTTGACACAAGAAGATCGATGACTGGCTATGTGTTTACCCTTGGAGGATCTGTCGTCAGTTGGAAGGCAACTTTGCAACCTACAGTGACTTTGTCTACTACGGAAGCGGAGTACATGGCCTTGACAGAGGCTGCAAAAGAAGGGATTTGGTTGAAAGGGCTGGTTAGTGATCTTGGTCTGCATCATGATCAGGCGACGGTGTATTGTGACAGTTTGAGCGCAATTTGTCTAGCCAAGGATCAAGTCCATCATGAGAGAACCAAGCATATTGACGTAAGGTATCATTTTCTAAGAAGTGAGAAGAGAATCAAGGTGAAGAAAGTAGGAACTGCTGATAATCCTGCTGATATGTTCACAAAGCCGGTTCCACAGAGCAAGTTTCAACACTGTTTGGACTTGCTCAACATCAGAAGCTGTTAATTGCCCTGCGGGGCAACTCTGAGGAAGAGGGGGAGGCTTGGCACTATCATAGTGCGTCTGAAGAATCTGTTCGGAGAATTCAAGTCAAGGTGGAGATTTGTTGAATGCCTTGAATCGGATCCGCTACAAACAGAAAGGACGGGGGTCTCGCTGCCCGGTCAGCGAGTCGGGGGGTCCAGGGGGCGACGCGCCCCCTGGCCTGGGGGTCCGGGGGGCGCAGACGCCCCCGGCCCGACGGTATACAATGTTGTTGTATTGGGCCCTTAATTTTCTGTTGATTCTGTATGTTGGGCCCAAGCCTGTCAGGGCGTAGCTTAGCACTATATATAGACGCTATGGGAAACCCTATTCTGTAATTCTGTTTTTGCCTCTCCATAATAAAACTGCTCCCTCTCTTCCCGTGGACGTAGCCAATTTATTGGTGAACCACGTAAATCTGTTGTCTTGTTTTTTCGCGTTTATATTTTCTCGTATTATCTCAAATTCCGCACAACAAGTAGTATATATCTTTTTTTGTTTCACATGTACGTAATCAATTGAGCAACTATGACACGGCTAAAGGTGTATTTGAGTCAATTTTATTAAAAAATTATATTATATAGCAAATATTAATTTTTTTTTAATTTCTTCGAAGTCTCAAATCAATTTAAATTTTCTTTGACTCCACCACTAACAAAAGTATATACTCGTATAATACTTAATAAGATAAATACAATTTATAAAGAACTCATCATTGTGACTTTGATACTAATTGTTATCCTAATCATCATCCATCAATTTTTTTTTTTAATTTTGCAATTCATCTAATTAACTCAAAGGCATACTTAATTTTATTTGCAATATCTTCTTTTAATTATTATATATATTATAATTATAATTGTCAATCTCAAGCACAAGAAAATTACTGTACAATATACTAGTGAAAGTTAAAGTGGACATTGCATCATAAGAGTGATAATGCAATATTGGAGATCACATCAATCCTATAAATAATTGTTTCGATATATAACGGTTTTTGGCGGATCTAGAATTTTTATTATATATTTAATTTGTATCATTAAAAAAATTAGTACATAAGTACTTCAACTTTTTCCTATATTATTTTTTCTTAGAAAAAATAATAAATTATCTAGTTGACTTTTATAACCCGCTAATTAAATCGACAATAATCATGCTTGATATAAAAATAAAGTCAAACTCCATCTATAAAAGTGATTTGTGCACAAATTTCAGAATCTATATATAAGAATTGACCTTTTAATTCCCCAAAGGGTGTTTGAATTCACTGTTTAATTACCTACAAAAGTTGTGGCGGAGCGATAAGAATTATTCCGTCCTTAATTAACGATTTTGAATTTGAATTATAAATATTGAAAAAAAAATCTTAATACAAAAGATTTTTTCTTTAAATGAATCTTATACATTGTGAAATAAAATTAATTAAGCGAGATTTTAATACAAATATCAAAAACCAGATAAAAAACAAAAAAAAAAAAAGAAGAAGAAAGAATTAGTATTTTTTTAATCTTCTTTATTTAATACACAAAAGACTATTTAATTCAGAAAGTGATGTATACCATAGCTTTTTTAATGAGTTGCACTTGAGTTTAATTTTAAGGAAATTGTTTTCGATAACATTAAACTAAAACACATTTTCACTAAAAACATAACATAGATTTTGCGGGGCTCGAGTATTTATTAACTTTGTTTCGAAATATATATATTTATGTATAAATTAAAAAGTATTTGTATAAAAATTAACATAGAACATCCTATGTACAAATGATCTGATTGGTCCATTGACTCTTGGGGGGTATTTTACGCTCTTTTAGTGTTGTTGAGCGTGTGTTCGGATTTCACTATTAACTTATTTTTTTTTGCCTCTCCCCATTTTCAGAGTATCCACAATCTTAAAATCCTAAATCCGCCACAGTACTCGACTTGCGAAATCTTTTACACGGTAAGTATAATAACTAAGTTGGTTGAATACTTGATTTCACTCGAAAAATATGATAATGTATTTGTTTAGTCTTCTTTTGTTTTAAAATAAAAGTATATCTTTTACGTGCGAGTTACATATACGACGTGTGTCTTTTGAAGTTATCGTTCATGCATTTGTCCATAGTGTAATATGAAGGATCTACTTCTCTATGAATCATGATCTTACCGCTTGATCGGTCCTCGATTGTCATGATCGAGAATGTTATCATGATAAGACGTGACACGATATATATTTAATGCTTATCGATTAACAATAACCGAATAGATTTAACGAATAGCTACATATCCACTTTGTTTGGATGTATTGTGATTCAATTAATTGACACAATATAATAATTTAGGTATATTTACGTTTCACTTTCTCACTAGACTAGACTAATATTTGCCCTAGGAATTACTATGATTCCAAATGGTCTTTTAATATACTTTTTAAATAATATTTTGATCATTAAACTATTGGGATTTATATTATTGTTTAAATTTAAATTTGAAAATTCTATATTTGAATACACATTAAAAATAGATAATTTAATTTTTAATATCACATATTTAAGATAAAGAGATTATCCACTTATCTAAATACTTAGCCGAAGTCCATTAAGTGCAAAAGAAAGATTTTTTTGAAGTATATTTTAAATTATTAACCGTTGTAATTTGTGATTACTTACATTATCTTTAAGAAATATAATTTTTTTCTATATATATTAAAAAAGTTTTTTTTAAAAAAAGTATATTAAAATACACATAAAGTTAAGTAATTTAACGCTCACACTTTATATCATGTCACATAAATGGCCAAAAAAATTAAAAAAGTAACACCTTTATAACTACTTCAAAAGATAAGTCGTAAAATTTTTATTTTTGGAAAAACCCTTCAAAATGCCAAAGTCCATTAAAGTTGTATACGTAGAATTATATATTTCTATATATTTTTGGGTTAGTTGGTTTAAGTAACTTTCATTATTGAGTCACAAAATTGATTTGATAGAAAAAGATGGTTTTGGAGGCAATAATTGATAATAATAATAATGATAATAATAATAATTAGTATGGTAACAAAAAGAAAGTAATAAGATTAAATAAAAGGAAAAACACAACAAAGCAAAATGTGGTTGATTTTATTTGTTTAGGATTTTTTTATTTAGTGTCAGATATTTATATTAGAGATACATATATTTGAAAATTTGTGTCAAATGATTCTACATTAAAAGGATAAAACACAAGTAAATAAATTAAAAATGACGATTCTATACTTAAGACGGTACCGAGAACATATGGTTAAATGTGATTATAGCCAAGAATGCATGCATTGCTATACCTACCAATCCTATATCGTAATTTGTATTTTTCACGAACTTTTATTTGAAGTTATATCCTCAATAAGTTGAAACTACACGCACAAAGAAGAAGAAGTTGGAACTACAACACTGTCTTGTCTAATTACTCTTTTTAGGCATGTGAGTGAGGCTCGGCCTCACCAATTTTGAGTGACAATGAAATCGAAGGATAAATATTAAAAAATTAATCGACTGACTTAAAATTTCATTTCATATGTCGTGAAATTGAAAAGACGAAAATATAATGAGTACTAGTCAATAGAATTGTGAGGCCTATTTTTGCCAAGATCAAAGGCTAACAGAGTCGATTAATCCCTTTTCAAAAAATTAATGAACTAATGTACAAAAAAAATATTTAAAATCTTAAATTTCTATTTCGTTACACCAAAACATTAATAAATAAAATTTTATTAATGAAAATACAATAAATTTTGGTCACCACACTTGTGAGGCTCAGCTGACCAATTTTGAGAAATAACAAAATCGTCCAACTAATTTCCAAAAAATAATAAAATAACACAACAAAAAAATATTAAAATTTTAAATTAAACTATAAGTTAACCAGTTTGTTAGATCTGCTAAACAATTTTATTGTTATAACTTCTTAACCAATAACCAAACCACTCTTAAATACATGGAATAGAATAAACACAAATATTTTATGACATTAATTATCTTTTTATCTCCTATATAAAGCAGTTAAACTCATTATTTTAATATTAAAAAATGGATAAAATAATTACATAATTAAATAATATCTTAAATTAAATAAATAAAGAGAAAGTTACTCGAACAGTAAATTTTACTTCACCATCCTATAGTTATGGATGCAAGTAAGAAGCAAAAACGGTGAAAACTCCTAAATATAAGTAAAAGAAAAAATCAAACCAATTGATCTTAAATTTAATTTCAAAATTATTATTCTTATTTCACGTATCGAGCGTTTATAAAAGGAGAAAAAAAAACACAAACACAAAGAAAGAAAGAAACAGTACATCACTACTACTATATTGTTTGTTACACCACATTACTTTCTTGTCTCTGTTTTTTTCTCTCAAAGCTTGTAACTTTTGTTCATGGGTATTTTTCTTTACTTTCAGTGATTCAATACCCAATATTTTCTTTAGGGTTTTAGTTTCTTTTTCTATAAACCCATTGTTTCAATTAAAATGGAGACTAGTGACCAGAGGTCTTTAGCTGAAGAGGATGGAAAAAACTGTACAAACAATCTTAATTCCAGAGTTGATCCTCCTCCTCTTCTTGTTGAAAAGGTAGCTTTTTTAATGATTTCTTGTGATATTCTGCTTGAGAACTAATTTGGGGTGTTGTATATGTGTTTTGTTTCTGCTAATTGTTTCTGATTTTACCCATTTTTCAATTTGAGCTAAAAAAAAATTGATCTTGGATTGGTTTTTTCTGTCAAATTCTCAGCTTTTCCACATTTTCTCAATTTTTGCTATGGCTTTTCTTTACTCTTGATTTCTTGGGTTTGTGGAGGATATGACCTTATATAGGAGGTTGTGGAGGTTAGTAGGTTTGGAGTTTTGTTTGTTGTGGTATTAGCCTTATACTTGTAGTGAATTGCTTTTGATTTCTATTATTGTTTATTGTGTTTTGTTTATTGAAACAATTTTGTTGTTGTTAGTGTTTTCTTATTAGTTGTCATGTTTATTTTACTCTCTTTTTTTCTTATCATGCCTACTTTGATGTGTTGTATTCGAGCTGAGGGTGCTCGTGAAATAGCCTCTCTACCCTCACGATATAGGGGTCAGGTCTGCATATACTCTACTTTTCCACATATTCCACTTGTCAGATTTCATGGGGTATGTTGTTGTAATTCTATTAGATTTTTAGCTTATTACACATTTCTCTCTTGGAGCTATGGCTTCTTTTCTTATTGATTTGTTGTTACATTCTGTTTGTTTACTAACTTTGGTGCTCTATATTGGGTTCTGTTTCTGGTAACTTTGCTGCTTTTTACCATTTCTCAATTTGATCTATTTCCTTTCTTTCTTCTTCTTGATTTGTTTTGATTTGGTAAAACTGTGGATTTGGGTCTTCACCGACTGTTTTGTATTATTTTGGCATGAAGTTTCTGTCTTTGTCTTTGCTTGTATTCTTGGAACTAATACGTTGTAAACGGTGCCACGTGCTTATTCCTTGTATCTGAGAAGTGTTTAGAGTTTATATCTTTGTTTGGTTGCAAATTGGTGCAGTTATGTTAGTATGGCAATAAATAAGAAGTTGAGTAGTAACTTTGGTATTTTGGTTCTTAATATCTGTTAGGTTGGTGAATCAAGTGAAATTGTAGAGGAACTACAACTCTGCGAACTGCAGACGAAACAACTACCTCTGGAAGTACCTGAAAGAACCATTGATGGACAAACAGAAGATTTTGTTAGGATAGACATGTCCACATCACCAGTTCAAACTCCCAAGAGAGTGATTTTCTCGCCATCGCCCAGTCCTAACCATGTCAGACTAAACGAATCTCCTAGTCCCTCATTACCGTGGGCAAAATCATCCATTAAATCTCTCCTCCCTAAAATAAGTTTCAAATTACGAAATAAGACGAGTGATATTGAAAAAGCTGCAATGTTAGCTCTTGGAGTCTCTCCTTTGCCTCAGGACAAACCTTCAATTTTGAGGACTCTATCCATTAAAAGAATTTTCAATTCAAAGATGAACAGAACTTCATCATTGCCTATAACTCCAATTGAACACTCTAATCCAGAATCAACGCATGGTGACTACAGAGATGCTACATTTTATTCAGTTGTAAGTATTTATATTTGCTCGTGTCGTTAATGCTGTGATTGAATTCACTATCTTCTTCTTCCGAACTGTAAAATTCTCAGTGAGGTTATGCTCCATTGAGTAATAAATGGTAAAAAAGCACAGCCAAGGGTGTGGTCAAGGACTGGAATATATAACTCCAGTTGAACACTCTAGTCGAGGTGCATGCACCACGGTTATTAAAAAAATGGTAAAAAAGCTGCAAATTTGGGTAACTCACAAAGGAAAAAAAACTCAAGCTATGTAAACATCTGTTTACATCTTTAAGCGTTTGAATACACAAGTATGGAAGTGGAAAGACCAAATGAAAAATGAGTGTAGTTAAAACATAAGCATGATTATTCTTCCCCAACTAGATTTTAATAGGTGTTATGCTCGGACTCTTCACTTTTGGTGTTGCATCCGAGTCAACATGATGTGGGTGTGACTGTGAGATTCGTACCCGTTTTGGGTATTTTGACCGAATTTGATGGAGAAATTTTGGACAGATTCAATGATTTCTGTGCACAAAACAAAAACTGATATGAAATTGAAGAAAATGGAATACCTTGTGTATATAAATTTCTATTGTCACTCCCTTTCCTTTAATCTCCTTCCGGATTCTCCTTTTGATCAAGATTTTCTCGTCAAGTTTTACATGTAATATCTCATAATTTAGGCTTTATAACTCTATTTTTAGTTACTGTATGATTTTTAGCTGAATCCCCCGCACCTGTAGATCCGTATCCCTAAATCTAAAAATTTAGATCTTAGAGGATCCGACCTCTAGATCTGCACCCGTATCGGACACCCGCACCCGAGTCCGAGCAACTTAGGGTGTTAATGCATTTACCTGGATGTTATATCTGAATGTATGTAGAGATCCAGGATACTTTTACTGGTTTGTTGCTATGAATATAAATGTCTTCGTAATTTCACTTAATGTTCAGTATTTCCTTTTCTCTTGTTGTTTCTAAATCTTACAAACTCACCGCCTTCTAGAAAGCAGGAGTGCATCCCATACTTCGCTCACATTCAGTGCCAACACTGATCAAAGATGAAAGCCTAAAACAGATGGATTGCGTAGGGAATGTCTATCGTGTAGTCCCCTCAACTCCTCTCGTGCCAAGACATGATGATACATCATCAAATGCAACTCAAACTATTGGCGCAGGTAATTTGTTTATGTCTAATCATGTTTGATGCATTGTCACATGATAAAGGCTTTTGTTCTGCAACTGGTGATTCTTTGTTAGATAAGTCTTGAATGCTTCGTTAAGTCTGAATTTACATACCGAGTAAGAAGCAGTTGCTTGGATACATGTGTGACTTACTTTTAGGAAGCCAAACAAATAAAGAATTTTCAACCTAGGATTTCACAATACACTCTCCGTCCCTATGATGTAGTTTGACTAGGCACAATGTTTAAGTAATATGAGAAGACTTTGCTATGTTCCAAAAATTTCCTTAAAAGAAATAAATTCTTGAATAGAGGAGTACACCTTTTTGTGGACTTTTTGCCAAATAAGTGGCATCCAACATGCATAAAATGTTGATAGTGTTGTTAAATTTGCCAAGTAAGGTAAACTGTCATTCATTTTTGAACTAACTATTAAGGAGGGTGTGTCACATAAATTGACAGAGGGAGTATAAATTTATAAAAATTAGGTTGCTTAGTGGGTCATGCTAATTTCTGACGACCGCAACTTTTGTGGAGAAATATAATTAGAAGTTGTATTACACTCCCTCCGTTGCAATTTGCTTGTCTTACTTTTCTTTTTAGTCCGTTTCAAATAGAATGTCTCTTTTCCTTTTTGGCAACTCTTAAATATCAAATTTTTTACATATGACATGTTTAAGACCACAACATTAAATGACAATTTGGAATATTCTGCATATTTTTAGTTTAAGACCACAAGATTAAAAAATATTCGTTGCTTTCTTAAACTCCGTGCCATGTCAAGACCATAGAAAGAAATTGAAACAGAGGAAGTGGAATCTGATTTATATTCCAAAGAATCATCGCTCAGAATCTGGTAACTATGGGAAATCGATTTAATAACCGATATTTGGACACAGAATATTCTGTTAATCTATTCTTATGTAGATACGCATCCTGCATTCATGACTTGAACCTTATGTTCACTCACCTGGGATAACTAACCTACACCTTTCTTAGTGTTATGGTTCAGTTGAAAATGCTAATTTTGGTGGAGACATCACTCAAGAAGAGGCTGTCTGCAGAATCTGCTTCATCGAACTTGGGGAGGATTCGGAAACTTTGAAGATGGAGTGTAGCTGTAAAGGCGAACTAGCCTTAGCTCATCAATCATGTGCTGTAAAATGGTTTAGCATAAAAGGCAACAAGATTTGTGATGTCTGTAATGAAGAGGTTCGGAACTTACCTGTCACTCTTTTGCGGATTCAAAGTACTATTCGTAGAGGAAATGGATCCCCAGCTGACTCTGTCCGATACAGGTATGCTCATGGCCGTTCCTTTCATTTCTTTTTTTAAAATATATATCTTTTGAATTAAAGTTAACTTCATTCAGTGCCTACACCTTTCTGTTAACTTTGTTCACTACTTTGCAACAGCCACTAGGAATTACTATTATATGTCTCGAGTTTTAATACAATTTAATGATGAGCGACATTTCTTCGTTGAATGAACTTTATAGTTCTCTAGTATTTCTTATGAGGAAATAGCTCAAGTTTAATCGCATGGTGACTATCGAACGAAGAAATGTTCAATTCAAATTATATGGTATTTTACTTGACGTGTGCAAACTGCTTACAGGGTTTGGCAGGACGTTCCTGTTCTTGTCCTTGTCAGCATGCTTGCCTACTTTTGTTTTCTGGAGCAGCTTTTGGTGAGTAAAAGACTAATGCAGTAATGTCATCCTACTCCAGAAAAGGATCTTAAATAATGCTTGTTTATAGGTTACCAGAATGGGATCCGGCGCGATCGCTATATCTCTGCCCTTTTCATGCATCTTGGGTCTCCTTGCATCCATGACAGCAACAACTATGGGTACATGAACTAAACAAACACCCTCCGTTTCAGAAACTACTTTCGATTTCAGTTTAACAGTGTCGGTGTTTCACTTTTTTCTTCTATTTGCTGGTATACATTATACAGTAATATAACATATAAACAAACATGCTTTATTTGTTTAGTGCAAAGGCGATATGCTTGGGTTTATGCTGTCAGTCAGTTTGCCTTGGTGGTTCTGTTTGCTCATGTGTTCTACTCACTGGTAAGTTATGCTTCAGGTCAAATAAACAAAATACTTTAGGTAGAGAATACATACACAATCACTAAAACTTGGCCTCAACGGACAAGTAAGCACTACAACTTTGAGAGTGCACATCTAGACACCTCAACTTGGTCTGAACTGACAACTAAACAATCCAACTCGTCTTCACTGTGTCTCGTGGACACCAGACACTGACCTGACACATGAAGAAGCGTTGATGTGCATTACTCAAAGCACGAGTGCTTCCTTGCCAGTTGAGGCCATTAAGTGTCTGTTTATGTATTATGTATTATGCCATCATTTCACCTGACCACTCGGAAAGGAAAAAAAGAAGAAGATTTTCTGAATTTCCTGAATTGCCTCGGGCTCTGCCTAATACTAAAAACTCTCTCATCTTATGCTCGGGATTGTAGCTTCGAGTGCAGGCAGTTCTAGCTGTTCTTCTTGCCACCTTTGCGGGTTTTGGAGGTGTAATGTGTGGGACTTCTTTTCTTCTTGAGCTTCTGAAATGGAGGAGTAGATGGAATTATTGGTCAAATGAGCCACATGATTCTCAAGAAGGGGCACAGCCAAATCAATCATCAGAAGTTACTCCTATGCCTCAGGTAGAAAGTCAAACTCGTCGAGCTGAAGCTGGTACTTCTGGAGTTGTCAATGGAAGTTGATACAGGACAAACATAATCTCTTTATATCAAGAAACCAAAGGAAAACACTAGTTTCTGTCTCTTGTAAGCAAAATTATTGTAGTGTATAGCTAGTCCTTGCAAGTCACAACTGTACAGTTTTGAGTTTATATCAAAGCTCTCGTTCAAACTTCAGAATTCTAAACATGAACACGAGACTTGAAATGAATTCAACTGTAGGTTGTAGGTTCAGGAATGGCGTTGCACGCAAAAGACGAGTGGTTCATTTTTCCAGTAGATGGGCAGTGCATGAAAGGAAACTGAAATAATGTAAATACCATAACGTTACAAGGATCTCTTCTCCTGTTATCAAAAAATCAGATCATTACTCTTTTTACTTTTTTTATTCAATTGTTTGGTACATCTTTAATACTCGTTTATCCATCTTCCAAACGTCTAATGAAGTATATTAAGCTCATATCTCAATAGCTAACCATGTGGGTTAAGGTTTACAAATGTGATCATGAATCGAATCAGGTCAAAGCATTCGTTCATGGTTATCCATGAACATCGCAGCTATGGCTAGACCATAATCCCCTATTGGGCTGGAGTTATGGACTAGTTTCTTCGGTCCTTTTTTATGTGCAAGTATTCTATATGATCAAAATAAGACTCTACTTGGTAGATATTACGACATAGGTAGTCTCTTCAACCCTTCTTTATGAGTTAGTGTTCTATATGATCGGAAAAAGACTCTACTAATTAGATATCACGACGTAGGTACCACTCCATACAGTTCCCACGCCTACCACTAGCTTGACTCATTACATGGTTTGCTAAAACAATACAACAAAGAGTTGTCATCGAGTTCACGATGTTTTTGCCCTTCAAAAGGGTACATTTCAAAACCTCATACTAGTCTCAATTAGAGTTTCATCACACTAACAACTTCTGGTTCAGCAAACGAATAATCATGAGTTGCATAGGAAAATTTTTATGAAAAAATGCCTTAAATAAGCTTTATCAGCCTCATACGCCACGGCCAAAATATTAGACAGGGCAAAACATGAGGTAATCCAATACAAAAATGTCAACCAGTAGTTACTAGGAAAAATTGCCTACAGAGGAAGAAAAAAAGGAAAGAAAAGAACAAAGAGGGGAAAAGGGAGGGGCTGGGAGAGTTCTAGCAGGGTGGGAACTAGAAATTTCGCATCTCAAAAGACAATATCGATTATTTCAGCACATCAGCTTAGAAGTTCTTGTTAAGCATTTCATACTTACCGCTAGGTACATACTGTTCTTCCAACCTGATCTTGCTCCCAGCAGCATCTTCATTGTTCGCTATACAATTGGTCAGTTAATCTCATCGAGCAACGTCATATCATGTGCTTATTAGAAATGAGCAAACTAATTGAAGAGCAGTCAATGGTAGTATGTACGAAAAGGACCCCACTTACTGCATCCTCTACTTTGCAACCCGTTGTATGATTGTTATGTTATTGCTTGTAACTCGAAGAAAGAGTCTTCCCAGATAACGATGTCTTCTCCTTTAGACTAGTACTCAATAAAGAATCTGAGTTGCTTGATTGGTTTTCACCAAAGCCTGGTCTCATCCAGATCTTAATGTGCCCTTCCCGGCAGACAGTAAGCACTGATTCATGAGTGAATGTTAAACCAGAGAGCGGTTCAGTATGAACACGGTGAGTAACCAGGGGTGATATTTTTGGAATATCTCGCATACTTGGAGCAGGTTGCAAAGTACCCACAGGGCAAGCATTATCCCAATGTGATGACTGACTCCCGGTGCTGAAAGTTGGAGATCCACCAGGAGGACGGCGCATTGGTACTACAATCTCATCCATTTCCAGATCCCATAGAAGTAATTGTGTGTCCTGCAAAGACATGTGAAGTTTGTAGACAGTCGAGCAAGGAGATATAGGGTAGGTAAACGCAACTGACCGTAGAACTATTAGCAAAAATATCTTATCATGAAATTATAAGTGACTCTGCAAATTCTATGCACATGAAACTATGAAAGGTACAGCATCATCACTCTTGACTGTTTCTCACCCACTAAGGAGCAGAAAATGAAATATAATAGGTAACAAAAGCCTGACCAGAGGGATAGGTCAAGTTCTGTTACAAGGAGATCAATTTTTTTATTTTGATTTCTGTTCCTTCATTGAGCAAGTTAGCAAGACACAAAATTAATTTAACTCAGATGAAATGTTCATCTTGAGCATGAATCTAGTTTTAATAGTGATTCAGGCAGCCTTATGCTTCATTTAAACAATACCTGACCAACAGAACCAAATCGGTAGACAACATTTTCATCCGTAGCATCTGAATTTGGTGCTGACCAATATGAATCAAATGCCACTCCACTTACCTATAAGACAGGAGTCAAGACTGTAAGGAAGACTTGAAATCCACAGAGAAGAAAAGATAAGTCATTCTTATTTATCAGCTACAAACTCACCCAAGAATTGTGTCCCTCACCCCATGCAACTACTTTCCTTTCTTCCATGCTCCAAACTTGAACTAGGTCATCTTCTCCACCAGTTAAAATGTACTTCCCATCCATACTGTCAATTTATTCACTTTCAGTAAAACTTTTCTCTAGTCAAAACATTGACAATAAGGAGTTTTTTTTTTCTTGGGGGTGGGGGGGATCCCAAGTTCAAATTTGAAGGAAAAAGCTAATTCAAGACACAAATATATCTTTTACCTAAAACCACCACACACTCACCTCCATGCACAACACAATAGAGCACCATAGTAGCTTTTCCCACCACATATAAGCTGTTCATTTTTATAGTCAAACACTCTCAGATAACCTGCATTTACTTAGCCATTACTAATAATCAGAAGGACAAAAGAAAACGATCCAGAAGTAATCATCAGATGAAGAAAATACCATCTCTCCCTACAGTTGCAATATAAGCCCCATCATTTGAGATAGCAATGCTATTGATTGAACCTTGACAAATATGCCATCTAGCTATAGGATTCTGCACAACGAAAATGAAGAAAGAACTATAAAAAATGAATAGAATCAGCTTATAGCATATATGGTGAAAAGGTTCATTTTTTGTTTATAAGACGATGAAACAGGATACCACATTTTGTTTTTTTTTCTAAATGGCAAAACCATGTCAGATTAACATAGAAGGTGATATTTAAAAACGAGGATTCTATTATTTCAAAAAAATCACAACTTGTTGAAAATCATTTGCCTAAAAACAGCCAGCCACAAAAAGTATACAAGGGAGAGGAGGTGGGGCTTCTACTACCTAGAAAGATAAGTGTCTAGATACAGTGATTGGAGAAAAAAGGTATAGCAGGAAAATTAGACAATAAATAGTTTGTGCAAGACATAAACTCCATCTGGTTAGTTCTCCACTATATCCTTGAAATAAGGTGGTGAATAAGAGAATTGCAAAACCACAACAATGGCTGACAAGAACTAAGCTTTCTGGTTTCCAGAGGGAGAATTTTGCAGAACCAATTTGTTGATGGTGATTTGACAAGATAATGGCAATTTAACAAAACTCTAAGGCTTGATAAATTGGGCTACTTTAATATGTTTATACCTGTGTGTTTCACACTTCCACTTATTCTTATTTTATTCTTTCCCAGATGGCAACAATCCATATTTTGTCTCAATGTGCCACTTAGCATATAGAGGTGTAGTAATACAGGGCCAAAGGAGGAAGAGAGGAAAAAGACAGATGTCACAGTTGGAAATAATAGATTTGGATCAAGAAAGAAGAAGAGGTTCCCTACGAGAATCAATATAAGAAAAATGGATAATTGTCCATGTTGAAGTACGTGAGATATAAATCTAAACCCCATCAAATAAAAGAATATTTTTGTTTAGAATAGGCTCGAAAGATTAATGAAGCTATTAGTGAGGAGTTAGAAAGGTCTTGTCACTAGCATTGTGCCTATACCTTGAGGATGAGGCTTTTAATAATGGGTTCATCATCAAAATATCAGGACCAATGCCAAATTCGCTGGCTTCATACACTGTTTTGCAGTCCTAGACAGAAGCGATGTGAACAGTGACAACTAAATGTGGATTTTAAACTTGGCCAAATCAAACTACAATCATTAAGCTAAAAACTATGCAATCAAGAGCAATAACCTACCTTATTTCCTCCACTATCTAAATCTATAATTTCACAGGAATATATGCTGAATCATATTGCTCCAATGAAATGTCAAAGAAATATGAAAACTATGAAGCATTTTGCACTGCAACAGCTTACTACAAAAAATGCAATTGCACAACGAGTACATCCACTACTCTTATGCAGAAGAATTTTATCCACTGTTTGAACAAATAGATACTTCGGCTTTGCCTTAACTTTGACTCTCTTCTGGATTTTCCATGTCTATATTTTCAACTTTGTTGGTAAGTTTGAACAGCGTACCATAGTCCAGTCTAATATTGTTGCACGCATACAACGTGACCCTCTCAAATTAACACAACTAACAGAGAAGGATAACTTCCAAAAATGCAAACAACAAAGTTTGTTTAAATCATGAGAAAGAGCCACTTAAGGGCTAATTGCAATCTCAATTCTCCCGTTCACACATCTGACCTTCAGCATAGACAATACCTCAAAAGAGTGTATTTTTAAGCACACTGACAACATTTACAATTGCAGAACATGGTTGATTTGAACCATGCTTCATTTCTCTAAATGAAAAAAGAACTAATGTACAACATATGGCTACATTCATTAGAAGTACACCCCCACATAACAAGATGTAACAATTAAAGAAATATATGCCCTTTTCCCATCATATTAATCAAACAGAAGGAACATGTGTGCGTTTTCTGATAATTGTTCTAATTGAAATGATTTGAAAAGAACATAAAGAAAAGCAATAAAGAATTACTTAAGTATATACTTATCTAAAAAAGAGAGTAAAACATCCATTAGATATATAATGTAAATACAGATTTTATTTGATTGCACAACTTAGTTGCGCGGACTCTTCACTTTTGATGCCGCACCCACGTCGGATTCTCCAAAAATACACTACAATGGCGAATCTGACACGCACCCATTGACATTTTTGAAGAGTCCGAGCAACATGGTTGCACAATATATTTTTTCATACATAGTAAAAATGATCATATCGGACTGACAGGGTGCAAGGAACATACAATAAAGGGTAAAGTGAGAGATCACTTGAAATGGTTTAGTCATAACCTATATTGAACATCACAGACACCAGCATAGGTGGGAATATGATCATCTAAGGTGATGAAAGAGGAATAAGGTGATGTAAAGTTTATGAATGGAAATAATCTTAGTATTACCTATAACCTATCCAAATCAATGCTTATTTAGCTTAAAAATGATGAAATACAAATAAATAATACATGTATTGTAGGCTATAGAAACTAGTTGAGATTTAAGGCTTCGTTATTGCTTTATACTAGCATCAAGTCTACCATCTGTCACGAGTCTTTTTATTCTTTTGTTCAGGTAAGAGACTTGTATATTGGTATAGGGTTAAGTGTAAGGTTCAGAGAACCTCCAATATGCTTGACAAGTCAAATTATTTAGTATTGAAATTAAATGAACCTAAACAACATGAAGTTGATGCACAATTGCATAAAGCCAAACCCAAATACTTTGAGAATTAGATGTGATTGATCTCAAAAGAAAAAAAATTGCCAAATGATTGGAGACAGCAAGAGACTATTGTTGCTTTATTTCTCAGTGTACATATCTCAACATCCATAAGCATGAGTACCTTACTATAGCGTGCATGGGAAACAGAAAATTGAGTTTGATCCTTGATGATTGGAAATGAAGGATCAGCAGAACCGTCTTTGCTCTGAGAAACAACAAAAGGTGCACATTGGTCTAACTGAAGTTAGAAATATGAGAATTAGAAATTAGTAAACATCATTTGGATTCAATATTTACCTTATCATATACATAAAAGTTTCCATCCGCATGAGCAACAACAAAAGCCCCATCACTGTTAGGCACCCATGCGATACTAGTACAACGACTGGTGTTGAATGCAAAGGAAATTGTTAACTTGGCAAATAAATCACTATTTTTTTTCGGGTTATCAAAAACACCTCTTTGTTTTTTGTATTACCATCACACTTAAATCATATTTTTGTTTTCATCCTTATACTTCATACACTAATCTACTTGTCCTCCCTCAACTCCGGGTGGGGCAAGTTTGTACATGGGAGGTGTCAAAGCATCTAGATAGACCGATACTTAACAAGACATACATTAATAAGCTAATGGGATTTTCGTTTAAGATTATTGATTGTTTTCTTAAAATGTTATTTCGAAACATGAGTTGGTGTGCTGCAGAGAACATTTCGTAATAAAAAATGCCATTTAATAAATGTACTGCAAAAGAAGCATATTTTCTGGATGATACAACTACGATTACCAATTGAAGATGCAATTTCCGACCCCATAAAATGGGAAATAACCAGCTCAGTGGCACTTAATTCAATAACGTTATTATGCCAATCAGCATATGAGGCTTCCATTTATACAGAGGTAGCAAGATAGTTAAAAAGAACATAAGATTCCACCTTTATCAAAATCGAAAGCTATCCACTACAAGGGAAAATTTAGGGAGCTAACAAGGTATACTAGCCATCAAAAAGCATATATGATACATGTCTAACTAAATATTCATCTATTTCAAAAGTCAACTATAGAAAATGTCAAGGAAGCCTAGGTGTATAAACATTACTCCCCAAAGACAAGATAACAACAAGAAAGCATTTAAGATAATAACAATGACGATATTATTTGAGAGCCTTGCCTGTTGTTGACAACACCATCCTTATTGTAATGTTGTGCCCCAATAAGCTTCTTCCCAACATCTTGTAGTTGTTGCCGTAAAGATACTGAATAAACTGCAAGTGTCAAAACAGACAGATTGAGAAAAGGAACCTACTGGAAGCTGTAATTCATATGTCACATTGACTGATAAACGAAATTTACCATCTCCAGAATTTAACCCAATGAGCAAGTCATGTCCTTCCTTTGCATCTGGATCAAATGCATGGCAAACGGGGTTTGAATTGCTGAAATGTATAGACTTTATAGGGTCCTATATTGGACAGTAAATCTATCATAATCCATATCATCACATCTACCATCTCAGAGAGCAAAATATGTTGATGAGCTTACCTTATCTCGAGAATTCAAATCACTGATAAAAATTGCATCACCAACATTGAACACTAAATAGGTTCCTTTGCCATCAAAATTTGAATTACCAACAGAACTACTTGAACTTGACACCCCAAATGATCCAACCCTACCACTCAGGCCACTGATAGACTTACCTCCACCATTTCCTCCAACAAAACTAAGTGTTTTACTACCGTTTCCACCTAAGAACCTTGCTGCAGCTGACCTAACACCACTACTCACACCAAAACTTGATGATGCTTGGGGCTGCGCATGTGCCGGCTTATCCTTGAGATGAGCAAGAGTCACCTGAAAATCAAAATTATTTCAGTATTATCTCAATATGGACTCTCTATTTGGGATAAAAAGACCAACGGATTCTCGATTTGGAGCGAAAAGTCAGATAATGAATTCTCAATATGGGGTGAAAAGACACAAAAAAGTTTAACCAATTAACTATAAAAATTCATTGCTCAGAAGTTCCCAGCACAACTAAGTGGCAAAAATCTTGAAAATTTGGCAGAACGACAACAACTATACCCAACAAAAACTACCTGAACTTAAAATTAACCTTTGTTATATATGAAAAGGCTATGTTAGGGTATGAGCCTTGACAGATCCTCTAGGTAAACTGCTACACCCACAAATACTGAAATACAGGTTCCAAGTAAACTTAAAGTGACCTCTTTTTACTTGTTTTTAGGAGAAGGATTGTGTAGGGGCACGGACCTCCATTGATCCACTACTCCACCCTAACATGTTACATCCACAAAATCAATACAGGTGCCAAGTAAACCTAAAAACAAGGAAAAAGATACCAAGGCAAAACAACAAGTAGTGGTAGAAATCTAAAAATAAGGAAAAAGAACGACAAAGAATAAACTCTGGGAAAAGGGAACAACTACTAACTAACCTTCTACCCTAACCTCGAACTCAAACTAAATGTTTAAATTAACCCATATTAGCCAGCCCCTTTCCAAAACTCAGCTCAAAAATCCAATTTTGAACATCTTACAAACCACTAAAGTTGAAATCATCATCAATAAACACAACTAAGAAGGAAAAAGACAAGAACTCACCAAAGTTTAGAATAATCGTTATACCTCTGTCACAGTCTCTTCAGAAGATATCGACACGAAACAACAAGTAGTGATAGAAATCTAAAAGCAAGAAAAGAAACGAATAATAGTAAACTATCGGAAAAGCAAACAACTACTTACTAGCCTTCTACCCTAACCCTCGAACACACACTAAATGTTTGAAATTAACCCATATTAGCCAAACCCCTTCTAAAACTCAGCTCAAATATCCTGTTTAGAACATCTTACAAACTGCTAAAGTTGAAATTAACATCAATAATCGCAATTAAGAAGGAAAAGGACAAGAACTCGGCAAAGCTTAAGAGTGAATCGTTATACCTGTGTTACAATCTCTACATGAGCATAATGACAATATCGAAGCAAAACAATTAGTAGTCATAGAAAAATAAGGAAAAGAAACGAGGGAACAACTACTAACTAGCCTTCTACCTTAATCTTCAAACTCATTCTAAATATTTGAAATTAACCCATATTAGCCTAACCCCTTCTAAAACACAACTCAAAAATCCAATTTTGAACATCTTACAGACCACTAAAGTTGAAATTAACATCAATAAACACAATTAAGAACGAAAAAGACAATTACCCACGAAAGCTAAAGAGCTAATCTTTATAATACCTGAGTTACAGTCTTTCCATGAGCATAATGAAGAAGCCCAGCAGGGTGAGTCTTCTCATACTGAAGCTTGTATCTTCCTTCTGGGGTTTTGAAATACGTCTTCAAACCAGGTGATTGTGCGTTGTTACTGCTGTTATTCCCCGGTGCCGATGAAGACGACATCGAATTACTACTAATCCCAGAATTCATCATTCTTCACCAAATCAAAATCAAAAAAAAAAAAAATCTGTTCCTATCAAAAATTCAACATATGGGGTTTATGAGATCATTTAAACAATCGGTTTATGAATCTTCTAGGGTGTCAATTGCTTCTAGATCAAGTGTTTTGTGAAGGATGATATTGACTTTTTTTCACCAATTTCTTCTTCTTCTCCTTGTGCTGCTGCAATTCCTTTTTGCTTTTTGTATTTGTTTTTTTTTAACTTCTTATTAAGGTTTATGTTTATGTCTAATTTGAGATTTTAGCCTTTTTGGGAGTTTGCAAACAAAATAAACAAACTTTCAATTGTGTCCCTTTTTAAGAGATAGGGTTTAATTATGGTATTCGAATTAGGGTCGAAGGTTGATAAGGTAATTAAACATTATCTCAGCTTCTTTTGATATTTTCGTTTGGATAGGTATAATATGTTGTTTCATAATGTATGATATGATATCGTTTTGTGTTATTGAATATATAATGTCTAGATAGATTGTATTGTTTTAATTTCTGGTGTTACGTAATTGTGACATGTTAAGCAATTTAAAGGACAAATTTGCAAGAAAGAAGGAGAGGGTATGGTATGAAATAAAAGTTATGATTAAGAAAAGGAAAAATATTTGAATTTTGATCGAAATTGTTGTAACGATACAATTTTTGAAATGACCTTTTTACCCTTGTGCTTTAATAGTGTATTTTAAAGGTTTATATGTTCTCATGTGCACATTATAAATATTTTATCGTTATAAATATTAGCGTGTCCACGTGAGCGAATTGTACTTTCAAAATACACTATTAAATAATGTAGGAGGTAAAATGTCCTCCGTATAAAGTTTGATATCGTAACAATAATTTAGGTCAAAATTAAAATATTTTTCAGACTTTTTTCCCTTAAAAAAAGGCAAATTATAAAGTATGATTATTAAATAAATAATAAAGTAACTATGTAACCACACCAAATGGACCGTTGCATAAAATGAGAATTTAGTGATTACCTAATGATGATTTAAGTTTTAATGATACGGTACAATAGTATTTAAATAATAATTAACATAAATATTTAATTTAATTTAACAACACAATGCAAATACAAGTGGCAACTAACATCCAAACAAGTTGTTACTAGTTGTAGTATTAATCCTATAGTTTTATGTTTTTTATTATTATATTATTTTATTTATAATTTTAATTTAACTTTTTCACTTCTACTATTTTTATTCTTAAAATAAAAATATGTCGAAAATAACTTTTATACCTCACAAAATAGAATAATATGTGCACTTAATTATATGTCTAAAAATATCAAATAATCCAAAACAAAGAAAGATAAAAGTAACAATGATGTCGTTGATAAAAGCAACTATATCTTGTTCTTTAGATATCTCTATTTAACTTTCACTATTCAATTATTTTTCCAAAGCTAATTGTTTGAATGAATTATTCTTACTTATAATTATGAATTTTATTTGAATACCAAAATTGAGGTTTTAGATGTGAAGTTAGTTTGAATTAACTATTATCAAGTCTAAATTTTCAAATAAGTTTGAAGTTAAACCATACAAATTCTCAATGTTTATATCGTTCCATTTAAATTAATATAATTTTTTAGGGAAAATACATAAATACCTCTCATACTACGATCGAAATCTCAAATACACATCTTAACTATTCTAAGGTCTTACTATTCCTAAACTAATTTTTTTTGTCATTTTCTACATTTTTTGGGCTAACGTGATATTTAAATATCTCCCACGCGCTTTAATTGTGTGGAGTCACAGAGCGTGCCATGTAAAAAAAAAGCGTATAAAATTAAAAAAAAATAATTCAAGAGATAATAGAAAATTAACTTAATTAAAATGTATCTTTCAAATTTTAATCAGTACTTGAGAATATACCTCACATGGGAAAGAAGTTGATATTTTTCTTAAATAAAGAAAATAAGAAAAGGATATAAATAAAAATTATATAAAGTAGGAAAAACAAGGGGGCCTATATATATGTATGGTTCCTTTAATATTCTTTAGTGGAGGTTGCACAACAAAACAATAAAAACATGATAAGAATTACATAATATATATATATTCATAAAAATAATAAAAGATTCTACAAACATACATGTCTATTTTTCATAAAAACTAATAAAGATTCTACAAACATGATAAGAAATATACATAACATGTCTATTTTTCATAAAAACTAATAAAGATTCCACATGATAAGAAATATACACAACATGTCTATTTTTCATAAAAACTAATAAAGATTCTACATGATAAGAAATATACACAACATGTCTATTTTTCATAAAAATAATAAAAGATTCTACAAACATAATAAGAAATATACGTAACATGTCTATTTTTCATAAAAACTAATAAAAGATTCTACAAACATAATAAGAAATATACGTAACATGTCTATTTTTCATAAAAATTAATAAAGATTCTACAAACATGATAATAAATATACGTAACATGTCTATTTTTCACAAAAAAAAAAAAATAGAGTGGACAACAACAAGTGGAGTTGAACTTGGAATTTTTTCTTCCCTTAAAATTATCAATAGGGATTGAATCTTTTTGTCTCACCATTAGTATTACTATAAGAATTTCAAATAAAAAAAATTTAAATATGCAATATAAGAAGTAAATAAATTAAAATATCCTTATATACGATGTTAATTTTCTAACGAATGAAATTCATATAAACTTTTTGTGTCCCTAACTCCGCCACAAACATACACTCCCCTTATAGTTTGCCCTTCTGGTATTTGGTCGTTCAAGATCTTTGATCTTTATTTCAGACTCGATAAAATATAGATACCTCTTGAATACAAATACCAAACTTATAATAACCAAGATCTATTCTTGAAAACACTCAAAATTCATTTTCAATGAAATATAGGTAAAGAATCACAAGCATACATACACACAAATACTAACATGATCATCATACTTATAAACTCGAAAAAAATGCAGTAGAAAACAAGAAAATGAAAATCATCCCATTGTACATTTCTTGAAGCAGAGAAGTAGCAGAGGAAGCATCTTGTTTTGATGAAGAGTCAGAGGATCCTGCTTTCCTTTTACGCGTTATAGGTGTTGGTGCTGGTGCTGGTGCTGGAGGAACAAAGAATTGTAACGGAAGAAGAACGTTGTCTACTTGATATATAGCCAATTGGTTATCAGTATATATTGTATTTGATATACTTGCATTCACAATTCCTGTTGTAATGTTAACTGAACTTCCAGTTGTTGTTATATTTATCGGGAACTCTCTATCCGTTGTTCCTCCAGCTTGTGTTCTTAAAGGGTTACTAGCAGTTTGGAATTGAGTGAGTGAATAGTATGTAGGAAGGATATGGAATTGGATAAGTTCAGCTTTTTGTTGATCGTTAAACGAATTCAACGTGCCTGCTTTCATGTTTAAAAATGCATTATCTGTTGGCACAAACATTGTGATTCCATTGTTGGAATTGTTGAGTTGTGAGGTGATTTCATTGAGTTGTTGTGTGTTTTGTAGTAGACGTATGAACGTTGAACATTGACCTGCTTTTTCGAGTATCTTTGTCACGTTTAATGGAGGTGGTGGACCTGGAGCCGGAGCTGGAGCTTGTGACAAAATGCCAATGCATTTCAACAAGAAAAAGAACAATATCAAGAAAATGTGTTTCATTTTTTTTTTTGTTTTTTGTTAGATGTTGTGGAGGAAGAGTTGTGTAATTGTGTTTATTTATATGTTGAGAAGTTAGATTTCTTGTTTTGAAAACAATGAAATAAAAAGGTCTGTGGGGTATTTTGTTTGAAGAAAATTGAGTGTAAAGTTAGGTGAAAGAGTATAATTTAAGGTGAGAAGGAACATCATATGTTTTGATAAGCTCAGAGCAGCTGTTAGTTTGCTTCTGAAGGGAGGAAAAACAGCTGGGAATAATGCAGGTGAGTTTTTGTGGGACGGGAGCGTTGGAGCAACGGTAAAGTTATTCCTGTGTGATTATAAGCTATGATGCTCGGACTGTATAAAAATCGAATGTGTCAGATCCTTCAGAAATAGTAATCCGTTTGTTTTACTTTATGTGTCCTAGTTACTGTTTGGAGAGTAAAAAATGATTTCTTTCTTTTATCATAACTATTTAAATATTTACTTGTTATGTAGTTTGCAAATATTTTTGATATTATTTCAATCTTTTTTAGAGATTTTAAGTTTTGAACTCACAAAAACTAGTTAATTTGACCCTCATATTTTGAATCAGGCAGGATAAATTGAAACGAATACATTTTTAGGAGGATAAAACACAAGTTGGAGAACATTTTTGGTGAGTCCTAGCAAGGTCACCACCTCATGGGAATCAATCTTAACTCACTTTAATTGATTGTGACTCTTCTTCGGATCCTATGTGAACGTGGAATACTTAAATGTATCGAGCTGCCATTTTTGTCATATACTAAGGATCCTATGGGGAAAAATATGCAAATGCAATCATAAAATCATTATTTATGGTTATGGTGGGACAGGAGGGCTAATTAAGATGTAATTTCAACAGTCACAAACTCACAATTAACAAATTATAGGTACAATTAATGAGATTAATGTAAGATAACAACTTGTAATAATCCATCAGATAATTGCTTTTTTGGTTATTTGGTATGTGTTTTGCAATTCAAATACAGATAGATACGCACAATGCCTAATATCCATCTTATACTGTCAAAATTTCAAGTTAAGTTTAGGGTGTTTTGTTAATCATAGTAGTAGTTGAACTATTTGCAAGCTATTTGCAAGCGGAAAAAGGGTCAAAATTACCCGTGATCTATATGAAATGGTCTAAATTTATCATACGTTAATATTAGGATTCAAACGTGTCCTCGCAATTCTTAAAATGGAGGACTAGATTTGCCTTTGTTGTCCCCCTCGTTGAGTCATACTTTTTTAAACGAACTAAAAATATGCACCTTCTGTATATTTTAGGATAATATTTTTTGCTTATGTATCAAACCAAATTTACATGACGGAAACCAAAACTACAATTGAATGAAATCACAACAATAGCATAACTTCAACATATTAGCTCAGATATACAAAACAAAACACAGCCAAGAAGAAGAGAAGTTCGCGAGGCGAGTTGATTACACCAGAAGAAACAGAGGAAACAGAGTCAGAATCCGACGAATCATCATTGTTTTTAGGGTTAGGTGGTGAAGGAGCTGGTGTTGGTGCTGGAGGGACAAAGAATTGCAATGGTAGAAGTACTTTGTCCACTTGATAAATAGCTAGTTGACTATCAATGTAAATCGTATTCGAGATACTTGCATTGACAATTCCAGTTGTTATATTAACTGAAGTTCCATTTGTTGTTATATTGATAGGGAATTCGCGGTTACTAGTCCCACCGGCTTGTGTTTGCATCGGGTTGCTAGCTGTTTGGAACTGTGAAAGTGAGAAGTATTGAGGGAGAACATGGAATTTGATCAGTTCCGATTTCTGTTGATCGTTTAAAGAGTTCAAAGTACCTTCTTTCATGCTCAAAAATGCATTATCTGGTGGTACAAAGATAGTGATGCTGTTGGAGTTGTTGAGTAATGATGTTATTTGGCTGATCTCTTGAGTTGTCTGCAACAAACGGATAAACGTCGAGCATTGTCCTGCCTTTTCTAGGATTTTTGTTACGTTGGTTGGGCCAGGTGGTCCCGGAGCAGGAGCCGTAGCTCGAGCTGGTGGTGGAGTTGGAGATGGAGATGGACCTTGAGCCAAAATGCCAATGCATTGGAGAAACAACAAGACAAAGGTTGACACTAAGTTGTGCTTCATATTTGGTTTAAGCTTTAGTTGAAATAGCTCTGGTTGTGGCAAAAGAAGATTGCACTACTTATATAATGAGAGCGTGACTTAGTAGTCAATGAAGTGCATGGTTCTCAAGTTCAAATCACTACATAAAAAATGATCTTTAGCGACAATAGATCAATTGCCGCTAAATATGTATTTTTAGCGGTAATTAACACTCTTTGTAAATGTCGCTAAAGTCTTTAGCGACATTAGATCTAATGACACTTAACTAATACCGGTAAAGACTTTAGCACATTAATGTGTTTATTTATTGCCGCTAAAAGTTGTTTTTGTTGTAGAGAGTCTTCCTGGAGACGGAAAAAAATTAGGTAGAAGGTAACAAATATTTAGTCAGAGTCACCCAAAAATACTTGTGATGGTAGAAGGTAACAAATATTTAGTGGATGCACGCAAACTGACCGAGACACCACAAACATCCAAACAAAACAAGAAAAAGAGAGAGAATGATGGAATAAAGGTAGTGGGGTATTGGGATGAAAGTAAAATGAAGGTGATATTTGGTGAAAGGTTACATGTAAGGTGAGCAAGTGGATTGATAAGATATTGATGATGTTATAGCAGCTTCTGTTTTTTTGCTTATGATGGAAGGTAAAGAATCATAAGAACTTTTAAAAATGGGAACTCGATAAAATAAGAATTTGCACGAGAAGTTTCATATTAGGTAAAACACTTCCTAACAAAAACAATTTCATATCTAGGACTCGAATCTGATCGAGGTCTATGATTAGGATAGAAAAATACTTACCGCTCGACCAAGAGTCATTGTTGGTTAATTTCTCTATTATGATTTTTGCTAGGGTGAATCTTTCTAGTTGGAATATGTACTCAATTGCTAATCATAATTGATACAAATGGTGGGACTATAGATGGCTAATTTAGTTGCAACATCATTGGTCACAATCAAAAATATATTGGTACAACTAATGATAATGTAAATGCAATATAACAAAGATTATATATCAATTAGTTGGTTATGATTTTTGCAATATCAATGCATGACAAGATAGCACAACCAAAATTTAGCAGCTAAAGGTGGAAATACTCATAAGTTTGTCACTCCAGACATTCCAACTATGCCTCGGTTCCAAACAAATTCATTAGAACGAGAAGTTGTTACATAATCGCAAGTGATTAGTATCAAAGATTCCTGACACCATAGTCTTTCATTACCCGTAACTTAAAAATGCAGTCCTTGTCCTCTCAATACTGAAACAAAATGGTCGATGAAGTGTTAGCACGGGCATAGATCACACATTTATAAGTTGTCACTTCACTCTAGCTGTTTCTGGAGGTAGATATATAGCGCATAATTGATTATGTGAACCGGTATACATCATTCAATTAACTACGCCTTTATCCCAAACAAGTGAGTGTACAAATGAGAAAGTATTTGGTAATGTAAGTACATTAATTATCTGCTCCAAACCACACAGTTACAAATGGACCTGTTTATCGATCCCAACAGTTATACTTCAGATCTACTGATACTCGACACATAAAACTATAAAACAAAGAAAGAAATCGCATCCCCAAACAAAACTTCTTGGAAATGAGTATGAGCGCCTACTTTAAATTGTGCTGTGCATCCCTTGCAGCAACAGCACAAGGAGTTACTTTCAAATCTGCAACATCATATATGTACTTTCTGCTGTGCATCCCTTGCAGCAATATCATATATGCACAATGTGATCGAGTTGTCATGGCAACGTCTTCTCTCATAAGCAAGGTTTAGACAGGGATAAAACAAACAAAACCACAGAAATACACCTTTATCTCAAACAAGCTAGTACAGAAATGAGAAAGTAAGTTGAAACAATATCAGAAGAACATGAACTTCTCTCTCCACAGATGTTGTCTTTGACACTTCCAAGATCTTGTACCAACCCTTCTGTTGGCTCAACTTGAAAGATCTCTCAGACATCATCAGTGATTTACGCATATCTATGTTGCTTCGACTCCGGTGAAAATCTAGAGGTCAGATTTTTCATCACATAGATTCTAGGAGTCGGGTTTATGCATCCGTGTGTGAATACAGTCCTGAGATACAGCTGATAAATGCATACTATGACATATATAAGTATATAAAGGGTAGAGACACGCACGAACATTTCATGCAGGTCCAAGGAAGGCAACCTACCCTAATACAAGCATCAATAGTTGGTTACATGACTCGAACCTACAGTGACAACTTTATGGTTGCTCTAAGATTCCCCTTTGAAATATATAAGTAGATAATTTGATTAATTAAAAAGCTGTTGAACTAAGATTAATAATCTCCCTGTCCAGTTTTATATGACAACCTTTTTTATAGTCAATCCCAAAAAGAATGACATATTTCCTTATTTGGCAACAAAATCCACAAAGATGTAAACCTCCACAATTTACTATTTTCTTAAAATCACATCTATTCTATGGAACAAGTATCTGTAACTATAGTGCATCTGAATTGTTAGGATGCAGCATTTTAGTTTTTCATTCACCGAAAACAAGAAGATATCGATGATGAACCAACATAGGGAGCTAGAGAAATTATTGACAGCGAAATGCACTCCAAACATTTCTTAGAAAGTTTTACCTTTTATTTCTATTTAAGACATTTCAAATGACGTGTAAGGATACAACAAACATAAAACTCAAATTTCTAGGAAGTCATAGTACAACTAACAGAATAGTAGCACATGCAACAGAGAACTCAAAGTGATTTACCCATATTGGTTGACTTTTGCTTGAGCCTTGTGGCGAACAATCCCTTTTCCAATACCCAACCTTCGATCATCGCCTGAGAATTCACTGCCTGGTCGGTAGGCACAAGATGCCCTGCATTCATCACCACAACATGAGTCAAATTCTCCCACTTCTGCACATATCCAGCGAGCTCGTCATTCACTCTCCAAACATTCCGCTCCGCCTCCAAAAACTTTCCAATTCCCTCCCACTTCATCTTCTTCATCCATGCCTCAGTTGACACCACTCCATCTCTCAAATCACACTGCCCCTGGTATAACAACACCTTAGTATTCTTAACCAAGAACTCCACCATGTACTTCACACTTTTCATCACGTCCTCGTGCAACACTTTGCCTACTACATCACTGCATATATCGTAAACTATCGATTCTCTTGCATTTAAAGCCCTCTTAATCTCTACATTGCTAAGAAATTTAGCCACCAATTCATCTTCATAAGGCTTTAGCTTTCTAAAATCATATAAAGTCGCAAGCCCTGTCATATTACTCAACGTATTCAACACCCTTGATCTAGCACTCGTTGCCTCGCTCCAATTGCCATTTTTCGTAAGTCTAATTGCTTCCATTTGAAGTTTCTCCAATTGTACCTTTTGCTTCTCATTGATCAATCCAGAATAGTAAGCATTTACAGCATGAGTCCCCACTTGAGCTTCCGGATCCGTCAGTCCATTTCCAATAGCAACCCCAGCTAAATTCAACCGTCGCGATTTAGGCAAACCTTCATTCTTTTTCAGTGTATAGTACCCAAATCCAGGCACATATTTTCCAGCATAACTTTCACCAGTAAGGTAAATTGGTCGATTTTCGAACAACTTATCTAATGCAACAAACTTCCTTGTAGCAATAAAAAGATGTTTAGCAACATCATGTTGGTTTCTTGGTATCTCTTCTGGATTTGAAGCAATACTAAATCCAGTTCCAATAGGATTATCAAGAAAAAGTACCCCAAATAAACGATTCCATGAACCAGGATTAGGTTTGAGCGTAAGATGTTCGACATTTTGCCTCAGAGAAGACGAAACACGAAAAGGGCCAAGTTCATAAAAGTTCCCAAGCATGGAAGAACATCCAGGACCACCCTGAAGCCAAATGATAATTGGGGTTTCAGAAAGATCAAATCTTGGTTTCTGGGCTTCATAGTAAGTGTAAAAAATGGCTGAACCAGTTGTTGAGTTAACTGTTAGGTACCCAGATTTTGTTGGTAAGGCTTCTTTGGGAAAAAAAGATTGCAGAGTTACTGATGATGATGCTGATGAGGTAAAAAGACTGGTGAGTAACAAGATGAGCAGAAAAAGGTGAAGCTTTTTTGGTTTGGACTCCATGGATGAAAAAGCTTCAACAAAGGACATTGACCTTTGTCACTGATAAAGTAGAGGTACTAAAGATTCAATCTTTTTACTAATTTATTGTTGTTCAACTTGTCCATAAGTATGCAAATATATACTTATTTTTGTCCTTGTTATGTACATTTTATATTGCTATAAAGTTTCCAGCACTTTTACTTGTCCAATAAATAGATATCTTCTTTTTAATTGCTACGAAGTTTACAGCACTTTTACTTGTCCAATAAATACATATCTTTATTTAAAATGTGACAGCTTAGAAGTTTATTGAATTTTCAAAATATATTTGACCATAATTTTTGAAAACATGTCAGCTCCTCTTTTTCTTTGTTTGAAGAAAATGAAACATGACTTGATACTTCAGGAAAAACTTGAAACATGACTTTCAGTCTAAAAGTTCTAAAAATTATCAAAAAACTTACCTGTAAGTTTGACACATAATAGTACATTATCCTAAAATTATAACAGGATATTTAGAATCACTTCACTTGGTTTCAGAATAACACTATTTAAGAATGTAACTACATCAGCTAGAAAGTTACAAAATGGATCTGTTTAATTGATCCAAATGATTCTCCTTAAAGCTAAAGCTAAAAAAGAGATAAAAATGGTATCTGCAAAGCAAAAACTTCTTGGGAATCAGAGTATAAGAAGAGCCTACTGTACTTTATGCTATGCAGCAACCATGAGAGGAGTATAAACGAACGCCATGGAGGTCAAAAATGAAATCCGCCAAATCCCCCTCCCCCGCCTCCACCTGGAAATCCTCCTTCAAAGTGGAATGTGTACTGCTGCCCTCCTCCGCCAAATCCTCCACCAAATCCTCCACCGAATGGGTTGAATCCTCCACCACCCATCCCTGAACCCATGTCTTCAATGTCTTCCCCTTGGTCATATCGTGTACGTTTTTCCTCATCCCCGAGAACCTGTTTAGAGATACGTAACATTCAGACAAAAACAGTCAGAATTTTCTTTAACAGTCATATCCTCTAATACAATATTTCACTATAACAACTATGTTTTATGTGCTACGGATCTTTTATGTTATGCTCTATGTTTTCTATTACAACATTTTGCTGTAGCGGCCAAATACTTGAGACGATTGCAAAACCAAAAAAGAACTCAACAGCTCAAACGAAAAATGATCGAAAAGAAAAAACAAAAACAAACCTCATATGCAGCTGCTATTTCACGAAACTTTTCTTCAGCTTCTTCTCTGTTGTCAACGTTCTTGTCAGGGTGCCATTGCAGCGCAAGCTTTTTGTATGCCTTTTTTATCTCTGATACAGATGATGTCTTTGACACTCCCAATATCTTATACCAATCCTTCCGTTTACTTAATTTTAATGATCTCTCAGCCCTCATCAGCACTTCACGAATATTCCTATCCTATAGAAGTGTACTTCAGATTATTTGATATCCAGATCAAAGCTAAAACAATAACCTTGACAAAAACGATCAAGCACGAGCACACATTATAGATGGTTTTCTATGCAAAAAAAAAAAAGACAAGCAACAACAAATTGCTTGAACAAAAACCCCGCAAACTTGGTTTAAGTCAAAAGGAAGGACCTCACTTCGACTTGGGAGACTGAATCCTGATTTTTTTTTTCCTTTTCCTTTTCATATGTCGACTTTTTGGTCATGCCTAGTGGCAAAGCAAGTTTGAGTCAAAAGGAAGGACCTCACTTCAACTTGGGAGACTGAATCCTGATTTTTTTTTCCTTTTCCTTTTCATATGTCGACTTTTTGGTATATAGATTCTTAGTAAAAAAATCCTGGCTCCGCCACTAGTCATGGCTATCACGAAATTCGCAAAATCTAATCCTTCTTACATGCAAAACTCAAACCCATCCCACCCCCTCAAAAAAAAGGACATTATATCATATATGCACAATGTGATGGCATGATTGAGTTGTCATGCCAATGTCTTCTCGCATCTTCGATGCAATATTACTACATGAAGAAAGGTTTAAACAGCGAAAAATATAAACAAATAAAACCAAAGAAAAAAGTTGCCAACAGACCTGAGGAGATTTTTCAGCTGCTTCTTTCAAATCTGCAACAGCTCCCTCCCAATCTTCTGTTAGAAGCTTGGCTTCACCCCTCTGTAAAAAAAAATGTCCAACTAAATGATTCAAGATTCTTTATGGTGTAAACTAGATATTTCTAAGCAGACAATTGGTCTAATAGAATTCAGTCATCCTAATGTCATTGACTATTTGAAGGTCGAAAAAAGTAGAAAGCAGATAGAGATTGAACCTGCACTAGAGCATCGATAAGCTCTCCATCAAGTTCAAGGGCTTCTGAACAGCTTGATATAGCATCCTTCCCCCTTCCAAGCTTTACCAAGACTTTGCACAAACCAAGATGAAGATTTACATTATGTGCAGAATGGTTGGGGTCCAACGCCAGGGCTGCTTTGTACTCCTCCACAGCAAGACGAAATTTACCCTTACTTACGTTATCGTCTGCCTGCACAAAAGTTTGGGGTTTGAGAAGCTCACATTGTAACATATCTTGGAGATATAGCAACAGGATAAAGGATTGTAGTTAAAGCTTGTTTAGATGGTTGCTACCAATTGTATTGTATTTTAGTTTAAATACAACGTTTTTTCTTGTGAAGTTGTTCATTAATGGGCATCAAGAAGATGCTGAAATAGTTTAAATACACTGTATGTCTAATGTTACTTGAATATTATTGTATCGTATCGATAAATCTAATTTCCATTATATGCAACAGCCCATTTGGTGTGGTCGAGTCGTTACCCCTTTTCTTTTAATCCAAAATGTTGTATGCATCAAAACAACAGAGTACAATAATATATATTATGAAATGATATGTAACAATCCTCCAAACAAGCTGTAGGGAAAAATAGTAAGTAAGGCTTACGCTTTTAGTTTTTTTAAGTAAGTTTTTCAAGCCAAAATAGGCTTTCTTCAATTCCCCGTGCTCTGGGTCTGAACGAAGACCTTTTTGGTAGTGCCTGCAAAGAGCACAAAAAGGCTTCTTTAGGCTCTCTTTACACCTTTATGCTACCTTTTTCATGGATTGGTGTAGTGGGAGGCAGGAAATAGTGGACCAAATTGATAGATTTCGTAAGGCATACCGTAAGGATACATCATGATCAGCCAGATAGTAGTAGGCACGGCCTCGTAGAAGTAAAGCCTCCAGATTATCCTCATCCTCTTTAAGTATAAATCCTGCCTCGGATATGACACCTGAATAATCTTTATCTGCTAGCAATAGCTTCACCTTAAGGAGTTTGGCCTAGAAATTCACATGTAAAAGACATCATCATAGGTGTAACACTTAATGGTTACACATGAAGTTACATCAATAGTACAAAATTGAATACCTTGGAGCATGCTGGAGAGAAAACTAGTACGACTTTATCAATATACTCCAACGCTTTTTTAATGTCATCCGTGTCCAACAGGTTGGTAGCTGAATCAAGAGCACTCTTAGCTTGGTGCATCTGAGAAAGCTCCTTCTCTGCAGCTGAGTCTCTTGGTTTCATCTCCAGAAACTTTTTGTAGCTTTTTTCCGATTCCTCATATCTACATTAGTCCAAAAAATATTAGGATAAATTACAAATTTTTCACATCAGAGTTTACCAGTAGAGACAAGGCCCAACATGCTTGAATACTAATTAATCAGAAACAAGACTTGTGGATAACAGATGCATTTATGCACCATGCAAAAGTAAATAACCCACAACACCCAAGGGTGTGGCGTACTTGTCAATGAAGTGGGTTGTAAACATGAGGTCTCAGGTCCAAATCCCAGCAGAGACAAAAAAACACTAGGTGATTCTTTCCATCTGTCCTGGCCTTGGTGATAGAGTTATCTGCTACCTAGTGGGAGGTACCAGGTATCCCATGGAATTAGTCGAAGAGCACGAAAGCTTGCCTCAGTTTATCAAAAAAAAAGAAAAGAAGCAAATAGTATTTGAGATAGTAAATTACTCAAGCAAGTTGCCAATGAAATGAAGAGGTACAAAAGCTTATATCAGGAAGACCTTCACTAAGAATCAAGACATACATGATACTAGAGCTGGTACAAGAAAAACAAAAGGAAAATTGATTTCAACCTGCACAACTGACGAAGGAGAGATGCACGGTGCCAATACGCCTCTGAAAGTGTTGGGTCTGCCTCTATGGCTGAATTTAGATCATTAAGTGCCTCACTGTATTTCTTAACTTTTACATTTTGTGCAACTCTCTCAAACAATGCAGCAGCATCACCAGGTTTGGCGTCTACACATCAAGAGTAGCAAATGTATCAGGAGAACAATAAGTGCCACTTCAATTACAAGACAAGAGAACACTATAAAGCATACTTCGTTTGTATTTCCTAACTACATTAATAAAGAAAACCCTCGCGTTTCATCACTTAAATGAAGATTAACCCTTCATCATAACAGCAACAATTGGAGAGGGGAGCATAGACACATCATAAATCAGCATTGAACGCCCTTTCTATGAAACAATTAACAGTGTCCTTCGTCAAGATGCACTTTACATTACTTGATGCTAGCGGGAGCTCGATTTAAATAATAAGAAACAATTTTTCTCATCCAAAAACAGTATTACGGCTCTCGGAAATTTCTAGGTAAAGCTCCAGATGTGATAATTTGAATCAAGCTATAGATATTAACAGGAGCATGATTCCGCAGATCATTCCTCATTGCAAACAACTGCTCACTCAAGACACGTTCAACAACAAATTTAAAGAGAATAACCCTGTTTCATCAGTTCTCCAGATATAGTTCTCACTCACTACAGCAGGACCTAAGATTGGCACAGTTGACCCTTCTGTCTAAGTTTTTATTACTCCCTCCATTCCAATTTGTTTGCCTTACTTTCCACCTTTTACTCCATTTAAAAGAGACTGTCTTTTTTCTTTTTTGGCAATTCTCTAGTTCTAACTTTCCACATTACAGGTTTAAGACTACAACATTAAAGAGTATTTTGGTACATATCTGTAATTTAATACAAACTCTATGCTAGACAAACAAATTGAAACGGTCGCCTAAATTGGTGTCTCACATCCTCATTATCAACATTAAAAAGAACATAAAGGATACAAATCTTTGAGGTTAATTGACACCCCACCTCAAAAAGAACAGCAAAAACTACTTCCTCAGTCTCATATTGCCTAGCAATACGCCTATTCATCGCGAAAAAAGTTCTTCTTCACTACTAATTTCTTTCAACAATTAAAGTTATGATCTTTACACTTCCCAAGTAGAAATTAGACACAAATGGATTCACCAACTCATATACAACAGCAATATGCATTCAAGATTTTGCTCAAAATCAGAAACCTCTACAATGTAAACAAATTCCCTTACCACGAAGCTCAAATCTGTTAAAAATCCCCAAATCAACTGTCACTATTAAAAATCAAACAAATCTGAGTAACCCAAATTTACAGCTAACATAAAAATCGAAAACCCCAAATCAAAATCAAACAAAAATAGTCATAAAAATTTGATCTTTACCTAAAGCAGATACAAGGGGTTGAAGGAAAAAGAGTTGGCAAGCGAATATAAAGTTAAGTATCAATGCTGAAAACAAGAAACCCCTCCATGCCACAAGATCAAAGCTCCATATCTTCATCAATGGCTCCATCATTCAACTTTGCAAATTCACCTATAGATACATACAATATATTTATATGTATCTATAATTTTCAAGAAAGATATATAGATTTGTGTTTTTTTGTTCGACAATTGAAGTTTTATTTGTTGCGTTGGAAGTGACAAAAGGGTTCAAAGGTTGTAAGGATTCTTGTGTCATTACACGTTAGACTAGCCTATCAGTGTCTTCCACGTGTCTTTGACTTAGATGGGTGACATGGATTAATCCAATGAGTGATCGACACGTGGGATTTTGTTATGTGCTTTTTCTTTAGGAGAATTAATTAAATTTAATTTGTTTTAGTAGCAATGATTTAAAGACAAATTAGAAGTTTTACTACTAGTTCATTATATATACTAAAATAATTGTTCAATTTATTTTTATATTTATTTTATTTTTATTATTAAATATTATCCAATATCTAATACATTTATTAAAATATTAACTTTAATATATTCAAAGATAATGTAATAATATTGTCTCTGTTATTCAATAGTAAATAACTATTGTTCGATATAAAATCGATTTTCGACGGAATGAAAAAGACATATAGTATGAGTATAAACAAGAGCTAAGGGTTAAAAAGAACATAGTACTGCGTGTTTTTGCGAGCAATCACTAACTAATTATTAATTGTTCTTCTTTTTTTTTTCACCTGAAATATTACTATTGTTCAGGTAAGAAAAAGGATGAACTAATGATTGAGGTGTGTTTTGATAAATAGTTGATGACGGTTTAGATAGAAATCTTGTATACCGATAATTCACGTATAAAATTTTAAAAAATGAGAGATACTTTAGGTTTGGTTTTGACTATTCATTCACGGAGCATTTTTTTGTCTTCAGAGAAAACTCTTTATTTTCTCAAAATTTAATTGTATAAATTTATGGGAAAAGGGTCTGATATACCCCTCAACTTTGTCATTTAGAGCTGATATATCACTCGTTATAAAAGTGGTTCATATATACTCCTACTTGTAAACAAATGACCTACATATACCCTTTTCCTCTAACGGAAATGAAAAAAATAATAATTTTAATCTAAATTTTAATTATTTTTTTCTAAAAAATATAATCCCATATGAGTAAATTTAATCCTTGTCAAACATTTTTTTTGACTTTTTTTTGTTTTAATGACTAATTTATAATTATTATTTTGATAATCAAATTTATTTATGTTTCACTAATATTCTTGTAAAACTTATTATAGATGACCAAATTTTTTCTTCAAATACGGAATTAAATTACAATACACACAAAAAAAATAGTTTAAATTTTTTTTCTTTAAACTAAAGAATGAAAGAAAAAACAAAATAAGAATAAGAAACTCAAATAATTATAATAAAAGAAGTCAAAAAATAATTTATGTATGAAAAAAATTAAAATATACCTTGAACTTTGATAAAAGAATCATATATACCCCTAAATAATTTTTTAAAAAAATTAGAAGTAACAAATATAAATTTAAAAATAATTTTTTAATTTCCGTTAAATAAAGGGTATATGTGAGCCATTTTGTAACGGCAGGGGTATATGTGAGCCGTTTGTATAACGGTAAGGGCATATATGAGACACTTTTATAACGAGGATATATCAGCTCTAAATGACAAAGTCGAGGGGTATATCAGACCCTTTCCCCTAAATTTATTTTATTCTAAACAACAAGAACATACCTAGTGTTTTTTAATATGATTTGGCATAAGAAAAATAGACTGTGGATAAATTTTACCTCTACCTCGGGAGTGAGGTAAAACAACTATTTTAGACAGACCAACGACTCAAGATAAAAGCATACTAGAAAAAAATAAATGGAAGTAGCAGAAAAGTACTAGAACAAAGACAAATATCTACGAAAATCGAAGAATAAAAGTGTAGCACTACGATTACTAGTAAGGTAGCAAGACAATACACTCCTACCTACCAGAAGGACGCGACCCTTGCTTAACAATTAGTCTTCTATAGTATTTCGTGTCTCCACATCTTACTATTTTAAGATCATATCCTCAATATACTATAATTGTGTCATGTCTCTCCAATACTTCGTTGATCTACATTTGCATCTCCTGAATTCATCCATAGCCAACCTCTCACAAGATACGTAAGCATCTCTTGGTCATATGCCCGAACCATCTCAACCTTACTTCCCGCATCTTAGTAGCCACTTTCATCTTGCCTCACATATCTTATCTATTTTAGTAAACTCACATATACATTAAATCATTCTTATCTCTTCCACCTTCATCTTGTGAATAGGGAGTTTTTTACTAGATACCCTCCACCACATACAACTTAGTTAGTCTAATCATCACGGAATAAAATTTGCCTTTGAGTTTAAGTGATACTTTCTTATCATACAAAACTTTGCACCAATACAGTGAGTAATATCCTCATCGACTTCTCCAATTCTTGGTTAGTAAACCCAACATACTTGAGATTACCTTTTTTGAATGACTTGTGTATCAAGTCCTACCTCCACGTCAGCTTCACATGTTACCTCAGAGAAATTGCATTCTTAGTATTTAATTTAGGAATTCTACTCAACCTAAATTGTATATGTTATGCGGAATTTGATATAATACGAGAAAATATAAACGCGAAAAACAAGACAACAGATTTACGTGGTTCAATAAATTGGCTACGTCCACGGGAAGAGGGGGAGCTGTTTTATTATAGAGAGGCAAGAACAAAATTACAGAATAGGGTTTGTCATAGCGTCTATATATAGTGCTAAATTACGCCCTAACAGGCTTGGGCCCAAAATACAGAATTGACAGAAACGAGTCCGATTCAAGGCATTCAACAGTATATTTATCTTCAAACCTCCAATTAATTAGCATTAACTCCGTAGTGGTCTCGTTAATCAAAACTACTTCACCCGCAAATAATATACACCATGACACATCACCTTGAATTTACCACAACAATATATCCACCACCAAGGCAAATCTCTCATAGTGTAGCTTAACAACTTGACCTACAGTTGTCGTTGCACTTCTGAAGGTCGCCCTTGTTCTTGTACTGGAATCATCGTACTCCATCTCCATGCTTTGAGCATCTTCTCTCTTCTTTTTTTTTTTTTTCAAAATAGAAATGATTTATTGTATAAGTGTATTAGAATACTCTATCCAAAAAAAAATTAAGGGGACTTTTGGTCATGATTGTGAGTAAAGTAATTTTGTTTTCAATGTAAAAAATGATACTTTTTATCACAAACAAATATGGCAAAGAAGTCTACAAGTTGATGGCTTCAATTTACATCCTCTTGTTGCTCTGAGCACCAATATAATTTACATGAGCTGCAAATACCAGATCCCCAGCCTGCACCTTCCCCATATGCAAATTTCTACTTGTCATGATCACTCGTAAAGTAATTAATTTAGGCGATATTAAGCTTTCTGTATAAGCAATTCCTTCCTTAACGGTTCTCTAGATGTCATCAATGCAGAACTAACACATCCAATAAAAAAAGATTTGTATCTTGTATTGTAGTCCATCTAAGTCCAAGATTCCCCGACACCATAATCTTTCATTATCCACAACTTAAACCTGCATATTATTAGATATGCAATAAAAGCAAAATGAAGCAGCAGGCGGAGTAAAATATATCAACATCAAACATTTGCTCGAACAACAATATCTCTTTACACCTCATTTGAAATATCAAATGAAACGGATAGTATAATATCCTGCAATGCTCCGTGAACAAATGCAAAATAATCCTTACCATAACTATATCAAGAACTAAATTAAATGAAGTAGCGACGATTAAGGAGGTATTCAAAATCTGCAAGAAATATCAATAAAAACCTAATATATCGGATATCAGTCATTCAAAACATGCAACATGAGTACTTAACTATGTTTAGCTTCGGAAAAAAAAAATCAAGAAAAATGCATTAAACTTATCAACCAGAAAAACGAAAACACAGTTGTTTTTCTGGTTCCTAATTTTCAAGTTTCACTAAACTTTCTTGAGGTTTGCCAAAACAACTTGATGCAGAAATATGCCAACGAAATAAGTTCACTGAGCCCGAACTAAGCTGATTAGCTGCAGCCAAGCGATCAAGGTATGCACGGATTTTCAATGTAAAATGGCTAATAACCGCCACTCTCCTTCTGCAGATGGGGCAAGTATTCACAATCATGTTCCAGTTTTTTAGACAATCCTTGTGGTACATATGTCCACAGTCGATCCGAGCAAGTTCTTCTTTGTCTCAAAACTCCTCCTACAACACACATAATCCAAAAAAAGAAAAAAAAAGTTGGTCAATCGAACTTTAGGGTGTACAAAAATACTAGAATGAGCTGCGAAACTAGGTGGCCCTTACCAAACAGATGGAGCAATTGTCCTTCTTCGTCTCAGAACAAGTTGAATTGATCGCCTCACATATATGCAAATTAATAATTAACAGAGGAGGTATTGTTCAGGTAAAAAAAATGAAGAATTGATGGTTGAGGTGTGTTTATGTAGAGAACTTGTATATTAATAATTTAGGTATGAAACTAAAAAACGAGAGATACTTGAGGTTTGGTTTTGACCATTCACTCACGAAGTATTTTTTGTCTTAAGAGGAAACTTTTTGTTTTCTCAAAATTTGGTTGTAATAAATTTATTTTAATCTAAACAACAACAAGAACTTACCTAGTGTATTATAAAAAGTATGGTAGTGAGGTAAAACAACCATTTTAGACAGACCAACGACTCAAGATAAATACGTACTAGAAAAAAAATATAATGGAAGTAGCAGAAAAGCACTGGAACAAAGACAAATATCAACAAAAATCGAAGAATAAGAGACTAGAAGTGTAGCACTACGATTACTAGTATGGGTAACAAGACAATACACTCCTACCTACTAGTAGGACCATTGCTATCAATCCGCCTTTGAGTTTAGGTGATACTTTCTTATCGTACAAAACTCCGAATGCAAAAACCTTCATTTTATCCACCCTGCATCAATACAATGAATAATATCATCATCTATTTCTCCATTTCTTGGATAGTAGACCCAACATATTTGAAACTACCTCTTTTTCGGATGACTTATGTATCAAGCCCTACCTCCACGTCAGCTTCATGTGTTACCTAAGAGAACTTGCATTCTTAGTATTTAGTTTTGGTTCATTCTTAACCTAAATCCTGTAAACGCCAAGATTTATCTCCAAACCTCCAATCAACATTAACTCCTTTGTGGTCTATGACACATCACCTTGAATTTACCACAATAATATATATCCATCACCAATGCAAATAAAACGGGCTAAAGGTTAATCCCTAGTGCAACCTCATCGACATAGAAAAGTGCTCTGAGTCTCCTTCCACCATTCTAACTAGTCTTGATTCCACAGTATATGTCCTTAATGTACTAGCTAGTCTACATCACCTATACCCTCTAGCCTCCAAGAACCTCCCTTAGAACTTTGTCGTATTTTTTTTAGATCGATGAACACCATGCATAAGTTCATCTTCCTTTCCCTATACTTCTCCACTAGTTTTCTTACGAGATGAATGACTTCAGTTGTGAAGTGTCTTGGCATAAATCCGGACTAGTTCTCGAAATAGTTATGATCCTCTTCAATCTCAAATCCTTAACTCTCATACTGTAGCTTAACAACTGACATATATTTGTCGTTGCAATTTTGAAGGTCGCCCTTGTTCTTGTATTGGAATCATCATACTCCATCTCCAAGCATCTTCTCTCTTCTTCTTTTTTCAAAAGAGAAATCATTTATCGCAAGTGTTATTAGAACACCCTATCCAAAAAAAAATAAAAAAAATTAAGGGGACTTTTAGTCATGATTGAGTATTTCAAAAAAGTAATATTCTTTTTCAATGTAAAAAATGATATTTTATCACAAAAAATATGGCAAAGGTAGTCTGCAAGTACCAGATCCCCTCTTGTTGCTTTAGGCACCAATATAATTTACATGAGCTGCAAATACCAGACCCCAAGCCTGCACCTTCCCCATATGGCAAATACTAAGTAATTAATTTAGGCGAGATCAAGCTCTCTGTATAAGCAATTCTTTCCTTAGCAGTTTAACTTCCGGGACATAATCCAGATGGTTCTCTAGATGTCATCAATGCAGAATTAACTCATCCAACATGTTTACTGATTAGTAGCACTTCACCATCTGCAAACGTATATTTCGGTTTTGTGGAATAAAAAAAAGATTGGTATCTTGTATCGTAATCAATACAGTCCAAGATTAATCCTCGACACCAATCACCAGAGTCTTTCATTATCCACGACTTAAGCCGACATATTATTAGATATACAATAAAAACCAAAGCAGTCCTTCCAATACTGAAAGTCTGAAGCACCACAGCCATGCATGAAGCAGTAGGCAGGCGTGTATATCAATATCAAACATATGCTCGAAAAACAATATCTCTCCATACACCTCATTTGAAATATTAAATAAAACGATAGTATAATATCCTGAAATGCTCCATGTACAAATGCAAAAAATCCATACCATATATAATCCCTAAAACATCTAACATATAGTGAACGTCAATATATTCTTCTCCAGGAATCACTTTTTAGCACGAGAATTTCAATTGAAATATTATGACTAATTGCTAGGATCTTATAGTCATCACTAGCTATATCCAAATCCGCGTACACAATGTAACAGTGGAAAGTCTGGATGGGGAAGTACTATTGATTCTCTTGTTTCGGGGTTCAAATAGCAAAATGTGTCTATTCGAGTAAATTAGAATAAACTACAAGAACTAATCCATCACAAGAACAATATATTTTGGAATTATTTAGTTTGCAGCTCAAAGCGCAATCAAGTTTGTTCATCCTCAACCACTTGTAATCTGTAACATACAGAAAATAGCAGCACCTTCAGACTCATGTTACCATTATCGCGGTTTTTGGACATTATTATTTACTAGTTCATAGTACTGAAGTGGTTTTTTTGGACATTATCATTTGAAATATTTTGGGATGAGAGAATACATCGCCTACTAGATACTACACGCTTATAATCATGTACTTACAAACATAGACCTTAACATGTATTCATATAGAAAGCACACAGATCGGAAAATTAAAATAATAAATCAAGCAATTATATTAAATCCAAAATGAAGCAATGCCGTATAAAGAGGTATCCAAAAAGAGTTGCGGAAAATTTTGCTTCCATGTGTGTATGTATTATGTTGTTAATACATAAACAATAATGCTTATTCATATTAGAAAGATAGGGAAACAATCCCGTGCACATAGCAAACTCGACATTATGACAAGTAACTATATCAAGAACTAAATGAAGTAGCGACAAAATCTGCAAGAAATATCAATAAAGAAACAAATATGCCAGATACCAGTCATTCAAAACATGCAACATAAGTACTTAATTATGTTTAGCTTCGGAAAAAAAAAAGCAAGAAAAATGCATTAAACTTATCAACCAGAAAAACAAAAACACAGTTGTTTTTCTGGTTCCTAATTTTCAAGTTTCACTAAACTTTCTTGAGGTTTGCCAAAACAACTTGATGCAGAAATATGCCAACAAAATCAGTTCACTGAGCCCGAACTAAGCTGATTAGCTGCAGCCAAGCGATCAAGGTATGCACGGATTTTCAATGTAAAATGGCAAATAACCGCCACTCTCCTTCTGCAGATGGGGCAAGTGTTCACAACCAAATTCCACTTTTTTAGACAATCAATGTGGTACATATGTCCACAGTCGATCCGAGCAAGTTCTTCTTTGTCACAAAACTCCTCCTACAACACACATAATCCCAAAAAGAAAAATAAAAAAAAGTTAGTCAATCGAACTTTAGGGTGTATAGAAAAACTGGAATGAGCTACGAAACTTAGGTGCCCTTACCAAACATACGGAACATTTGTCCTTCGGCTCAGAAAAAGTTGAATTGGCCGCCTCATATACATGCAAATTAATGTTTAACAGAGGAGGTATTGCTCTAAATCCAGCACGAGCATGCTCTTCTAATTCCGATATGGCCTAAAAGATGTCATCCATTAAAGAAAAATTCAAGTATGTTGAATCAAACATAATTAAATTATCTGTTATCGCGAAGCAATACCCTTTCAACAACTTCTTGATAAAGAAAATTCCTCCTATCAACTTCGCTATCTCGCACTTCACCACCTTCATTTTCCTGAAAAGTTGAACACCATACGATTTTTATTGATGGTCACACATTTCAACGTTGTAAAAAAAGAAGCAAAGGTCTAATGCCTGAGTCTCACTAGCACCCATTATTCAAAAAAAATGCACATGCTTGATTCATTAAAAAAAGAACTAAAATCGCACGTTAGGATATGAATCGAAAAACATAATTAAATAAATAAAAGTGCATTCCTAACTTGCCGCCAGAGCTTTTTGCAAAACAATCCTTACTGTCAATTCCTTCAGCTGCTGGTAAGCCAATAGCGATTGATAAAGCCACTCAAGATAAGTACAGACCTAGCACGGCTAGAGTTAAAGTAGGACTTGATTAGCTAACAAATTTGCCACATCGAATGAGAATTCAATATGTCGACCAGAAAACAGGAAAAAGTGTGGATCAATTTCAGAAGTTTGTGTATGATAATCTGCCGTTTTATTGCAACTTTTGTAAGCACCAATGCCACAACGAAAGTGAATGTCGACTATTATTGGGAAATAATGCAGCAAGAACCCAAGAAGAAGCATCACAAGTAAGCTCTGAGCTTGAAAAATATCAAGGTGATGCTCGAGAAATATTAGATGAAATGAGGGATGAAAATAAATCCCTTGTGGTTGATAAAATTGGGGTCGTTGTGGCACGAGATTTGGAGTGCCAAAATAAAGAAAATTTTGGGCAACTCTAGGCAAAGCAGTTGCGCACGAATCGGCTTCAGGGGATCAAAGTTTAACCACTAAGAAATACTTTAGTCCTAGAGGGCAGCAATTAAATAGCAACACTGTTGAAAACAAAAGTGTTACTGGTGCTGAGACCTGGCATTAAAAATACCGGAGAAATAAGCATTAATAACAAAGGTGGAAAAACTGGTTTTTTGCATATTGATTCTAAGAGTGCTGATGATATTCATTCATCAGGGAATAAAGTTGGAGCTACCGAAACATTCTTTTTACCCTCCCTAGGAGCTCCCACCCTTTTGCTCCCTCGGTTGAAAGTGAGGGATGCTTACCATATGAGCAACTCCCTCTCGTCATGTGGTAACTAATTCAATTGCCTTGATGAATGCCAAGAGTACAGGTGGGGGAGTGGAACTGGTACATGAATCTAATTTGGGCTGTGGTGACGAAGAAAAAATCTCCAAGTATTGGAATTGATTCGCTTATTAGTAACACAATGCAACAAGTTGTAGATAGTCAAACTATGAATTCAGGTGCTCGAGAAATTTTTCCACAGGATGTCATGTGTTTTAACACTTTTGATGCTCTTAACGAATAATATTGTGGATCAAATCAATTCATCTCAAATTAACTCCACAAATGAATTAGTTATTTCTAAGGAAAAAAAGGTTCGACAAGTACTTTGAGATGGATAGAACAAGACACTTCTCCTATGCAAAAGAAACTGAGCCCAACAACTCCTGCTTTTGTGCCTAGTAGTGCCAAGTTAGTAACTCCTCGACAAGGTTTTTCATCATCAACAAATATTGTTGCAATCTTAAGTGATCGTTTGGTGAGTTCTAATACTGAAAAATTGGCTTCAGTCTCCGATTAAAGTTAACAAACAACTTCAAGTTGGTGGTAGTAGTATTTTTCCCCCAAATAAGTTTAGGTTAATGAAAATGTAATCACAACCAATTAATTAAAGAAGAGGATTAGAATCTTAGTAAAGTGAGAAAACTTAACTGGAACATTTGGATTGATCACGTTTGTCACCCCCTCTCGATTATCAGAAATCGGAGCATTGGAGCTTCCGTCACCATTCATAGCTCCATTAGAATTGTAACTCTCCATCTGAGGTGCAAAGAGAAATAGTAAGTTTTTCATCCATTTCAATCACAATTCTTCCCTACGTTGCTCGAACAATTAAAAGTATTGTCACATCTGTGTCGAATCCTTAAAAAGTACACTATTTTTTTTTAATTCATGGATATGAATCAAATACAAGAAATGAAGCTTTTAAGACCTTAGAGTCTTGATAAGTAAACCTAGTTCATATTCATTCAACATCCATTCCTTATATATACCATTTTTATGTAAATCAAAACGGAAGATCTAATTGTATCGAAACATAAAGATCTATAACAAGTTTTGGTTAGATCTAATCGAAATCAAAATCTAAAGCCGCAAAACACAACATAAGAAAGATATACAATGTACGGAGGTTCACACCACGAAAGATTTTTTTTTCTTCGCAAAAACTCATGTAAAAGTAGAGATCAACACTAACCTCGATGTGAATCAAGTACCGAAATGCTTTGACAACAATGAAAGTAAATGGAAGAGGAAAAAAGAAAAAGAGGGCATGTACTATTTAATAGAAGATTGAAATTGTAGTAATCTAAGTTCCAAAAATTCATCAAAATAAGAAAAATCTTAAAACAAGCTACACTAACCAAAAAAAAAAAGTCAAAACAAAGTAAAAAAATAGTCAAGATGCCATTAATACTTTTCTCTTTAGTCCTTTCCTTAAATTTCTCATGTTTGTGCTATCTCGGGTTTTATGAGGGGTATTGATATCCAGTAATAAAAATTCACGGTTATTTGAAAATTTTCAGAAATACAAAAGTTAATGAATTGGAAAAAAATTGTATGCGTCTAAGCAAACCAACCCAATTACAAAAAAAAAAAAATACAAAAAAGAGTGACGGTTCATTACTCTTCTAAATATTTTTAAAAACTAGCTCTGGATACATATGTTGCACGTGTATTTGAAATACTAAACATCTAAAAATAGTTATAAGTTATGCATTGAACAACTATTACACCATATTAGTCAAAATTGTGGATTGATCTTCTCTCAAAGATAATATGTTGCATTGGTCATTATAAACCAAATAATGTATCAAGTTCACACAACAAATGAACGCGATACCTAACCTCCAAAAATAAAATAAAATACTGTGATCTAAACGAAGAAAATATACGAAGTGAAATTGAACATCACATAACAATATATATGAACTTACACTAGTTAGCTCCTTACATTTGCGTTGACGTGATAAAATGATGATGAAACGTAAATACCAATTTTTTGTTTGTGGTTTCCCTAAAAAGTTTAGACCAATTAATGTGAACTTGTAATTAAAATGCATGAGAATAAAATGGTGTTTATTGTACTTTGATAATGTTATTGCCAAAAATGTCAAGCTTTTCATAAGGAAATAGTTTCAAAGTTAAACATCTGTTGAAAACAAGTGCAGCAAATCAGAACATCTGATCATGCAGATCAAAAGTGCTTTCATCATCAACGGCGAGGGTCTAAACTGCGGCATACGCCATCACCAAAGTAGGTAATGGAGTGCCTCCAAAATCGATGGCATTGATATCTTCTAAGAGTAAATTATAGTGATCCTTGGTCTCATCACCAGGAGGTGCTTCTTCCATCTTCATGAGTAGATTGTTATTGTTAAAGTATATCGCAAGGATATTCTCAAAGATTTTGTCCTCCTCCCTTGTCCAGACGCCAGAAGCAGCTATTGCATGTCCGGTCGGTGCTCTTTTTCTTTTAGATCTACAAGGAAAGATCAAGCATAAATAAGGAAAGTACTTGAAGAGGATTTAGAAAACAGATGAATGTCAATATACGACAAAAGCAACCATAAATATCAAATATCTAAAAAAAGACTTTTGAAACTTCTGACATTTAGTAAACAAAAAAAGCAAGCGCAGCAAGACATGTATTCTTTTAAAATCAACTATGGATACTAAGAGAAGTAATAAGTGAATGGTAAAACGAACAAACATGAAGATACTAAATGATATACTACCCACATTAGTTCCCAGAGATACGAAGCATATTAGGAAAGAATGATCGTTCTTTACTTTTTCTAATGGACGGAAGGTTTTAGAATTAGAAAGAAAACTACAAAGAAGAAAACTATTTATTTGAACAACTTTCATGCCGAACATTATTCTAGAGTAATACCTGAACAACTTTCTCACCTGAAAAAAGTAGAAATTTAACAAGACGAATGTAAGCAATATTAAATAGGAAAGTGACATTTCGTATTCCTTCATAATCTACTGCAGAATCCAAGAGTAAGTCAATCATTATGATGATACTATCAATAAAGCCTCCCCGGTATCTTCTTGTTTCATTTATACAACTTGAAATAGCAAATCGAAAAGGAAAAACCCATATTCCCTTGTCACGCAATCTAACTATGTAGAATTAGTGGATGTGGAATGAAAAATTATGTCCAAGACAACAAATCAAAAGCAAAACCTTACAACTTTTTTTTTTTTTTGAGAAACACTCAAATCTCTATACATTAACTTTCAACAACAGAAAGCATTATAAAGAAGTATCACTGAAAAAATGTTGACTCAATTTTTCTCTCATAAGTAAAACACAGAAACAAGACGGATCTCATGATATTCATCTCTTCAAAATCTACCTCAAAACAACAACATATTCAATGTTAATTCCATAAGTGAATTCTGGGTATGGTATAGTGTACGTAAACCTTACCCCTACCTTGGGAGTTAGAGATCGGTTATTTTTAAATAGACTCTCGGCTCAAAGAAAAGCCTATCAAAGCAGATAAACTTTATGTAATCCCACAAGTGAGGTTTGGGGAAGGTAGAGTCTACAAAAACCTCACGACACTTACCTTCGGAGGTAGAGGGACTATTCCCGATAGACCCTCGACTCAAAGAAATAAAATAAAATAAAATCAAAAAAGGAAATATTTACAGAACCAAAAAAAAATCGAAGAGCATACCCTGTGTAGTCCCACTAGTGAGGTGTGATAGGATAGGTAAAGAACTATTTTATGATAGACCATTAGTTATCAAAGAAGATCCAAAAAGGAAAGATTTACATAACCATGACAGCAAACCAAAAAAGGAAGCCATAATATATCTTACTTTTTTTGTATAAATTATTTTCGATAGATCCTTGGCCAAAGGATTAGCATGTCAAAGCAGACCAAGAAAAGGAAAGATTTATAGAACCGTGAAAATAAATCAAAAAAAACAAATCCAAAAAAGATATTCCTTTTTCCGTAATCTAAAAATTAATTTTCATAAACACAAAGCATGTTAAAGAATATCACTGTAAATTGCCAGCATAACTGGGGCAGAACCTGATGATCACAAAGCTAAGCACAGTCAAAGAAAGCTTTTGGATGAATCCTACATGATAAACATAAGTATTCAAACACACACATATACATATATATAATCAAGAATAAAAACTAGAGAATTTTGGGCAAAGAGATTAATTTCACACCTACGATGTGTTCTTACAGCAAAGCCAAAGCTTATTGAAATAAACTTGGTCGAAATTCATTCATTTTAATCGGATGTTTCAAGTTTTTAGAAAAGAAAACCTCCCAATAAACCGATTTTACAACACCCACTCACTCTTCAGTGAAATTATTAAGTACTGCAGAACAACAAATAAAGGATTTTACGATGATTACTTTGCGCCAATAAAATAATTGTCTTATATTATATTCAACAGCAATAATTAATTTTCTAAATGTCGCTTAAAGGAAAATAATTCTCTTATTTATGGGCATAACAAGATACTGAGTTTTGTTTTCTTGAAACTAACGGATGCCCAAAATAAATTATAAAAAAAATTATCGACAATAAATATGCACATTAACGAAGAGTGTTAGAGTCTTTACCGATATTAATTAATTGTCATTAGATTCAATGTTACAATTGACACCCAATTTCAAAACCCTATAAACTTCATCTTCTTCAAATTTCTCCGTGAAAATGTCTGGTCATGGAAAACGAGGTAAGGGATTGGGAAAGGGAGGAGCCAAGAGGCACAAGAAGGTTCTAAGAGACAACATCCAGGGAATCACTAAGCCAGCTATTCACAGGCTTGCTCGTAGGGGTGGTGTGAAGCGTATCTCTTGTCTCATCTATGAGGAGATCGACCCGTGGAGTATTGAAGATCTTTTTGGAGAATGTGATTCGTGATTCCGTCACCTACACTCAGCATTCCAGGAGGAAGACTGTCACTACTATGGATGTCTATGGATCAGTTGTTAGGTGCATTAGATATCTCTGTAACTGTTCATAAGCTCTAAATATTGTAATTTCTCATTAAATATTCAATGAACAAAGCTCAATTTCTACAAAAAAAAAAGAAGTTGCAGTAGACATTAGAGACATTTATAAAGAATACTAATACATATTTAGTGACCATTAAAATATTAATTATGGTTAGAAGATGAAATTTTTTTTGTATTGATAACTCTTTCTTTTGACTTTTTTTAAAATAAATTTGTGAATTTTAAATTGGTGTGAAAGGGGTGTTAGAGTGGATAAAAAGTCCCACATCGGTTGAGAAATGGACTGGCGGTCTCCTTATATGGACTTGGATAAACCTCTCATAACAAACTAATTCTTGAGGTTGAGTTAGGCGCATGTGTCATATCTTTACATGGTCTGACATCTGAGACCATGTAAGGATATGACACATGAGCCCAACTCATCCCAAGAGTTAGTTTTTGCCTTTTGGGTTGAGTTAGGCCCACATGTCATATCTTTACAACACGTCCAAGCCCATCTTGTGCGTGGACTGGGAGCCCAAACGAGAATGAACATGACTCTGATACCATGTAAAGATATGGCACATGAGTCCAACTCACCTCCAAGAGTTAGTTTTTTCCTTTTAGGGTTGAGTTAGGCCTCTAATTAAGTGTCATATCTTTATAGTCACTTCTAATCAACTATTTCCATGAAGATTTTTCTTCAACTTCTTTCTTATACATAAAATCACTCTATGACTTATATTTTTTGTGCAACAAAAAAAAACATCACTTAAAGATTTCAGCGGAATATTTTGCATTAAGGTAAAATGTTTTTGGCAAGCAATGTAGTGTATATATCAAAAATACTAAAGTAACTAAATGATCATATGTAAGCTTAATAAAATAGTGTATTTTCGTGTAATTTACCTAGTATCATTAGAAACCAAATCTGTCAAATATCAGTCATTCAAAACATATATATTGTTATACAATATGTTAGGTTTTCTGTGTTCTATATCATATATGGGCATACAGAACAAACCTAACGGACAATAACCAATTCTTAAATGTAATGATAGTCCACCTCTATATGCTTTGTATTTTCATGTTGCACCAGGTTTGTGACTATTATAAACGCAGTGGTGTTATTAACATGTAACAATGTAGGAGATGTGATAACGACACCAGGATCAGATAATAGTCGTTGTAGCCAAACAATTTCTGAACTTTCTATCGACGTAGCACAATTAGCCTCCATATATAATTGATTTAGATATACGGGATTGTTTCTAAACATGCACCAACCAGTAACATAGCTTTGTGGATAGGGACAACCAGCCCAATCTTCATGAGTATATCCTTCAAGGTGTATAGAAGAATCAGAACCGAAAAGAACACCTTGACTCATAAAACCATGAATATACCGAATGACATGAAGTAATGCAGTGTGATGTATACGGTAAGGATTAGCCATAGAACATGTACTGTATATGAGATGTTTGGTCTTTTCTACGTACTCATGCAATGTAGGTTAACTCATGGTCACGCCCCAAAAAGGAAAGCACGACACAATACCTGATGCATCTAACTTTGACTGCACGAACCACATAAATTTCCCTACCCATTAATGATATATTATTTCGGAGTCTGAAATGTAAATTAAACATTTTAAAATCATCTTAAACTTAGAATAGTAATACTTCACTAACAAGGTAGATGAATTGCTTAGCCAACACTATCTTGACCTTAGCTTCTTTTGTTTTCTATTTAAAATCCTGTTTGTAAGCAACCAGATCATTTATATGCAACAAGACAAGAGTATATAGGTCCGCCATGGGAAAATAAGAGCTCGTCGAATTATCGTTCTTTGCTTCCCGGGTCAATAAATTGGTAGTGTTGGAATGTATGTGTCCACTATAAGTCAACGGACCAGGTCCTTTTACTCAGCAAGAATAGTAGCTGAAAGTAAAAGTGTCGAAAATAAATAGCACAATGTAAAAAGGGCACAAGAATTTTACGTGGAAGCCTCGTTGCTCAAGGGAATAAAACCACGACCTATCACACGGGATTTTCCAACTGCTTTCACTAAATCTTCTCAAACAAAAGTGAAACACATATTACAACCACAACAGTGAGATCAACACCCTAATTCCACACTAAGTAATACTCCTATTACTTAAACGAACCAAAGAAATAATCCTAATGCCCACTAAACAAACTAACTTTAGTTGATCTTGACTTTAAGAACCCCCAAGGCTAACTCTATCCACCAACTCCGATCCCCAAGACAAAAGCTTAAACGAGCAGCAACTCTGCTGCACCACACATAAATAAGCAACTCTATCGAAGAGAATACCAGCACAATGGTGTAGGCTTCACCACTTCATTTTTTAAAACAAATGCAAATATTATTTTTTTTTTTTGAAATATTTCAACCAAAATCCACTTGTCTAGCAGTACTGTCTAAAGCAGATTAAGAACATCTGTTCAAAACAAGTCTTCAATAAACAAGTGCAGTAAATCAGAACATCTGATCTGTGAACAGATCACACGGATTAAAAGTGCCATCATCAACGGCGAGGGCCTAAACTGCACCATTCTCCATCACCAAAGGTAACTGAGCTGAAGCCTCCCCTGCAGCTGCATAACCGGACATTCTGGTTTGAGAAGTTGGTGTTATCCCAGCATCAGAAGTTGGTTCCATCCCAAAATCAAAAATCAAATTGAAATCATTGTCTTCGTCCATTGGGTGACTGAGTAATGCTTCAAGTTCACTCCCGATTCCAGAGATAAAATGACCGGAAGTTCCACTGCTAGCATCAACATTCACAAAAGCATTTTCGCCTCCGACTACTGCTGTCATCTGCTCAGCATTGGTGCTTTCTCGATTACACATGCTCTCAGTGCTAGTGTTCGGCACTGCTTGTGATCCCTCGCAAGCAGGGTCAATCATGTCCGCGGTGATAGGAACTTCGGAAGTACCACCTAATTCAGTATCCACGCCAGTTATATCAAGAACACTTGGTTTTGCTCTTCTTCTTCTGTTCCCTTTCTTGTTGGCTTCAATGCGCTTGAAATACTTCTGCGCATGGGAAACCACTTGCATTGCGGTTCTTGTTATCACACAGTGCCTAGGTATACTTCTCCAGTCACCTTTTCATATATATCTAAGCCTCGGAGAAATGACCTATAGAAGGAAAGATAGATAAATAAATTATTATCCCGAAAAAAACATTAAAACATAAAAATGACCAACCTGTGTTCCTCTTCTGTCCAAGCAGCCCCTCTTCGCCGTTGAACATCTGCTTTCATATTTGGTTGTCATTGCTTTGAATTTCTGCATAGTTAGGTAATGGAGCGCCTCCAAAATCGATGGCATCGATATCTTCTAAGAGTATATTATAGTGATCCTTGATCTCATCAACTGTTTTTCCAGGAAGTGCTTCTTCCATCTTCGTGAGTAGATTGTTATCGTTAAAGTGTATCGCTAGGAAATTCTCAAAGATCTTGTCCTCCTCCTGACTCCCAAAGGAGCTATTCCAGGTCCGATCAGTGCTCATTTTCTTTTAGATCTACAAGGAAAGATCGAGCATAAATAAGGAAAGTACTTGAAGAAGATTCAGAAAACGGATGAGTGTCATATATGACAAAAACAACCATAAATATCGGATATCTAAAATAAGATTTTTTGTAACCACTGACGTTTAGTAAACAAAAGCAATCGTAGCAAGAGATGTATTCTTTTAAATCAGTTATGAATACTAAGAGAAGTAATAAGTGTGATAAAAACGAACAAACATGAAGATACAAGTGGTATACTACCCACATAAGTATCTAGAGATACGAAGCATATTATCAAAGCATCTACGTTCTTTACCTTTTCTAATGGACGAAAGGTTTTATAATAAGAAAGAAAACTACAAAGAAGAAAACTATTTATCTGAAGATAAAAAAAAATTATATCACTGAAATATATACTTCTGCTCTTGTTAGTAACGCAAAAATAAAATATCTATGGCCCTGTACCACATAAGGGGAAAGAAATCATGCCAATCTAACATATGTTATAAAAAGAAATCGATCCTCATTTGTTAAGAGTTTCACGATAAGAACATTATTATAGAGTAAAACCTGAACAACTTTCTCTCATGAAAAAAGTAGAAATTCTACAAGACTAATGTAAGTAATATCAAATAGGAAAGTGTCATTTTGTATTCCTTCATAGTCTACCCCTGAATCCAAGAGTAAGTCAATCATTATGATGATACTATCAATACAGCCTCCCCGGTATCTTCTTGTTACATTTATGCAACTTGAAATAGCAAATCGAAAAGGTAAAACCCATATTCTCTTGTCACGCAATCTAACTATTTAGAATTAGTGGATGTGCAATGAAAAATTATGTCCAAGACAACAAATCAAAAGCAAAGCTATACAACTTTTTTTTTTTTTGAGCAACACTCAAATCTCTATACATTAACTTTCAACAATAGAAAGCATTATAAAGAAGTGTCCCTGAAAAATTGTTGACACAATTTTTCTCTCAGAAGTAAAATAGAAACAAGATGAATCTCATGATATTCATCACTTCAGAATAAACCTCAAAACAATAACATATCCAATTAATTCCATAAGTGAATTCGTGTACGTAGACCTTACCTCTAACTTGGGAGTTAGAGATCGGTTGTTTTTCAATAGACCCTCAGCTCAAAGAAAAGCCTATCAAAGCAGATAAAAAAAGAGAATATTTATTTAATCTCACAAGTGAGTTTTTGGGGAGGGTAGAGTCTACAAAAACCTCACGACACTTACCTTCGGAGGTAGAGGGACTATTCCCGATAGACCCTCGACACAAGGAGATAAAATAAAATCAGATCAGAAAAGGAAATATTTACAAAACCAAAAAAAATAATTAAAGAACATTACTCTTTGTAATCTCACAAGTAAGGTGTGGGAGGATAGGTAAAGAACTACTTAGGATAGAAGGAAAACCACATCAAAGAAGATCCAAAAAAGAAAGCAAAGCCATAAAAGATCTTACTTTTTCTGTATAAATTATTTTCGATAAATCCTTGGCCAAAGGATAAGCATGTCAAAGCAGTTTAAGAATAGGAAAGATTTACAGAACCATTAAAACAAGTCAAAAACAAATCCAAGAAAAATCTTTCTTTTTTCTTAAAATTCATATCTCTATAAATTAATTTTCATAAACACAAAGCATGTTAAAGAACATTACCATAAAATGCCGGCACAGCTGGGGGCAAAACCTGATGATCACAAAGCTAAGCACAGTCAAAGAAAGCTTTTGGATGAATCAACCTAAGCATACAAGTATTCAAACACACACATATACATATATATAATCAAGAAAAAAAACTAGAGAATTTTAGGCAAAGAGATTAATTTCACACCTGCGACGTGTTCTTACAGCAAAGCCAAAGCTTATTGAAATAAACTTGATTGAAATTCATTCATTTTAATCGGATGTTTCAAGTTTTTAGAAAAGAAAACCTCCCAATAAACCGACTTTACAACACCCACTCACTCTTCGGTGAAATTATTAAGCACTACACAGCAACAAATAAAGGATTTTGTGATGATTACTTTGCGCCAATTAAATAATCGTCTTATATTATATTCAACAGCAATAACTAATTATAAATGTCGCTTAAAGGAATATCTATTGTCACTAAATGTCTCTTTTGTTATAGTGCTAGCGGACTTCAAATAGATCTGCGCAACCATGTAGATGTAATATCCCCAATTTCAAACAAGTTATCTCATGCAACACGAGTAAACAGAACTTAA